AGCTGTACCCTCTGCGCGTGCGTGGTAAGGCCGTTGCTTTGGCAACCTCATTCAACTGGGCGTTCAACACGGCGCTTGGTCTGTTCGTTCCCACTGCCTTTGCCACGATCCGCTGGCAGACATACGTCATCTTCGGTGTTTTCTTGGTTGTCATGACCATTCATGTCTTCTTCTTTTTCCCTGAGACTGCTGGTAAGACTCTGGAGGAAACCGAGCAGATCTTCGAGGATCCCAACGGTATCCCTTACATCGGTACCCCGGCCTGGAAGACTACCCACGATACCAAGCGCACTGTTGCTGCCGAGTCAGGTGATGTTGAGATCCTTGGTGAGAAGCTGGCTGGTGCTGAGAAGCGCGCTGCTGCCCACACTGAGGTTGTCGACACAAAGTGTTAAGCGCGTATAGCACTGTTAGATCCGTTATAATGTTTTCTTTTTTTTTTTTTCTCTTGGGTTAGACATGATCCATGTCGATATGATGTCATGTAACACAATTCAACAAATCACATATATCCACGAATTCAGTCTCAACATTTTCTCTTCACTCAATTTGCTCGTATTCGGAACTGTAGGATCGTAAATGTGGCCGATTAAATAGGTATCTGGTTTACGGGAGTCTCGCAAGTATTGGCAATTTGATTGGTAGTTGTAGTCCAATTCAAAACCAGTCCAGGATGTATATAGAATCTTGCGAACGACAAGTTGTCCAATCCGAAAAGCGCATCAAAGAAAAAGAATTGCCAAGAATTTCCGATCGGAGCTGCGAAGCTGTCTGGTCAACGGGGGTGGAGTTTACCCCCTAGAAAAAAAAGAGAAAAAAAGGATCACATTTCACGATCCTTTCTATCCGATCGTTCCGGTTATGATCAAATTTCTCTTTCCTTCATCCATCTCTTACCATTGGAACACGTGAAAAATCCAAGTCAAAGGGTACGAAGCTCAACTTTCCAATATGGTTCGCCCGCGGGGAAGCTCAGCCTTGGGTGTGGACATTCGAGGTGACACCAGCGCCCCGGCGATGTCTACGATGAACGAAGTGAGTCCGATCGAACCAACATCGTCAGATTTGAAGGTACGTATTTTGAACACCGCAACCAATCCCCCCCCATACTAACCGATCCCAGCAATTCGATGGCGCACAGAAACAGGCCAAGGCCCAGTCCAAACGGCGTCGCAGCCGCTCCCTCCTCCACCGTTTCGCGGATACCTGTCTGCGATACACCTGGCTCTTGCCGCTTCTTATAACGCTGTTCCTGCTCGCGCTGTACGCCATTAACCCCACAACCTCGAACCCAATGCACAGCGCAATTTTCCTGTCCTACCCGCAACCCCCGAAGACTCCCGGCGGACCCATCATGTACGGCAAGGGCAAGAAGGACATTGCATTTGTGGCCTTCTACACGATCGTGCTGTCGTTCACGCGCGAATTCATCATGCAGCAGATGATCCGGCCATTTGCTGTTTGGTGCGGTATCCGCGGGAAGGGAAAGACGGCGCGGTTCATGGAGCAGGCGTATACGGCAGTTTACTTCGGTGTATTCGGGCCTTTTGGTCTGTACGTGATGAAGCGGTCGAGTATCTGGTACTTCAACACGACTGCGATGTTCGAGGGCTTCCCGCACCGCGAGCACGAGGGTCTGTTCAAGGCGTACTACCTGCTCGAGGCGAGTTATTGGGCCCAGCAGGCGATTGTGTTGATGCTCCAGTTGGAGAAGCCTCGCAAGGACTTCAAGGAGCTTGTCGGTCACCATATTATCACGCTTGCGCTTATTGGGCTGAGCTACCGCTTCCACTTCACCTACATGGGCTTGGCGGTGTATATCACACACGATATCTCCGACTTCTTTTTGGCTACCTCGAAGACCCTCAATTACCTGGATGCGTATATCACTGCCCCATACTTTGCCATGTTTGTTGGGTGGTGGATTTACCTGCGTCACGTGCTGAACCTGAAGATCCTCTGGGCTGTTCTGACCGAGTTCCGCACTGTTGGACCATTCGAGCTGAACTGGGAGACTCAGCAGTACAAGTGCTGGATCAGTCAGTACATCACCTTTGCGCTTCTCGCCAGTTTGCAGGCTGTCAACCTGTTCTGGCTGTTCCTGATCCTGCGCATCCTGTCCAACTACATCTTCACCAACGTCACAAAAGACGAGCGCAGCGAGGATGAAGAGGAAGAGGAAGAGCTTGAGTCTGTCAACGCGACCAAGGCAATTGCCACTGGCGCAGACCAGACCGGCAAGGAGAACCACGCTCCCCAGGTTCTTCTCAACGGCGAGCCCGTCGCCGAGCAGCGTGGTCCCCGGACTCGCAGCAGAAAGGCGTAAGCCGAACGCTTTTGTTCGAGTTTGATCAATTACCCAGGCATTAAAGCCGGGGATTTTCACCGTGTTATAGTTATACTTTTGGATCGGGTGGGTTTCCAGGTGATCCTCTGGATGTGTTGATATGCTGTTAATGTATATGTTGAAGCTGGGTCTGATTCTGGTGCAATTGCGCCTGTTAGATAGCCCTTTAGAAGAGCGGGCGCCGGCGCTTGTTTTTGACGATCATATGAATCAAGTAATTTTTACTGGTCAGTCTCTTAATGTTCTATGTGATTTGTTTTTCTCACATACTGTTACTTTTGATGTCTTTCTTTGAACTCATGTCATTTTACCAAATATGAAATTTAATCCTCAGAAAACCTCCCAAGTTTGAAACCATATATGGACTTATTGTAAGCCATTAAGCTTAGGGAAATACTTCCAGCAACGCGATACCAGACAGGGTGATGGACGAGAGAATGCAGATGCTGTATACCAGCTTCCCTATCAAGCCAAAGCAATACTCTAGTTCTACCTAGTGGCCATTATCTATGATTGAAGCATAAATATTGAGAGCTTCAACAGTACATATCTTACTGGCTTTACTCGCGGATTACTCGGAATATGTTCAAACAAAATGCGGGGTTGATGTTGTATGTACGGAAATAGCGAACTGGAAAGTCATAACAACATCGAACTATCTTCTTCACAACAAGTATATCGTGACGGTTCTCGCTAAACCTCTTCGATTCAAAGACAAGATGGGTCAAAATGATGAAAAGGTGAAAACGGCCACGCATTATCGGAAGCCAAATGATTGCGAAGCTTTGATAGCCTCGACTCTAGACTTGGGAATTCTGCTGGACTTGCTCGTGGGAAAGAAGCCAACTGGCGGGCAAATGTTTCCCAGCGACGTTCTGGGGTAGATCTGTTTCTCTAGGCATGATCATATGTTTTTTTTTTGAGGCGGCAAGTATCTTCCATTCGAGAAGTGGAGTAGTTCGTGTTGGCTTGTGTACTCTTGGTATTTTGGCATAGTAACTTTCCAAGTTTTCGCACATAAGCCCAAAGCATTTAAATGGCAGGGTTGCCACAGCTAGTGCTTGTGTGGCCAGGCATAGCACGTGCGGAGATTGTCGATACCAAACGAGGTCGAGGGGTAGTAACCGGGGGAAGGCTGGTCAGAGGATTGTGATGTCGGGGATACTTTATCGGTCAATGAAGTGAGTGAGTTGGACATGATAGGAATTGAGATGTGAAGTCATGTTTTCGGATCGTGTTGATTTTTGTTTCGTTGGCTTTCTGTTGGCCGAGTTCCACGAAGAGCCACTGGCGTAGGACGCTTAGGGTATTGGAGGAAATTTGCTGGAATGTCGAATGACTCTCTTTCCCCTGGTTATCAAGAGAGAGTATGAGAGCCCCGAGTTGTCATAAGCCATGACATTCAAGCATTTGAGGAGAGACTTGAATCTTCTCCTCCCTGGCTGGCATTCATACGCCAAGGTAGTGTTGGGGGGGGCGCATATTTCACTGCAATTCGAGTATTATGAGTAACGAAGTTCATCCATGATAGAGAGGGGGCTTTTACTGCTTGTTCCCTGTAGGATGAACCAGATGGGAGGAAATGCCGAGGACATGATAGGAAGATTAGAAATGACCAGAGCGATGGCAACCAGAACTGAAGTTCCGAGGTAGTTGAAGAGAAAGAAAAACAGGAAAAGGTTGGAGTCTCCATATTTCTTGCCTCAGGTTGTCGTACCTTCCTTGTATCTCGTATACTTTATTTTGATATTGTATGGTCTTAACAAAGTCTTACCTGTAGAGAATTGCTTTCATCCACCCATTTATACGCTCCCCTGATTTTTCATGGATGTTAAAACAAGTATATCTAGTTCATCTTGTATTTACTCAAATTCCTCCAGGGCTCCAGGGGTGCTAAGCGTTTACAAATCCACCTTAGAAAAACAACCTAACGTTTTATGACTTTGCAACTGTATTCCCTTATTTCAATCTCTGTCACTTTTCTTGCTTTTCTTCGCTCGCAAGTAAACATTTGACTGATAAGGGAGTATGCTTCTCTTTGAGTTCATAGCCCAAAGTAGTTAAGATGGCCATATAGTTTCTCTAGCTAGACGCTCAATAAACACTACTTCCAATGACTTGCCTGTTCTTGTCTATCATATATTTGGTTACATGTATAGGGCCTTTTGCAATAAACTGACTATTGCCGTTAACAAGTTGATTGTTTCCTGCCATCGTTCCCCGACAAATATCACCAATAGTTTAATCTCTCAGCAACCATGCATGTCAATGTCTCTCAGTCTGTAGACCCCTTAGAGATCTTTGAAACAATCATATCGCCGGCTTACTTCGATGCCTAGGTCACAGATATTGGCGCTATTATTCGCGTAGCATCGCATCGTCTAGGCATCGACGCCGTAATCTATCAATATACGAATGCTTCAACATACGAATGGTTTCAATATCCGAATTGGCTGCTACAATGTTCTATATTTCTAGTTTATTTTTTAGTAATTTTTGAAAGGATATTTAAGTCCCAATTTATTCTCGCTGGTCTTTATCTTCGCTTTTAACCGATCGCCACAGTCACGATCAACCATCTATTGCACTGGTCCTACCATTCAATGTGTCTTTATCTTCTTGTGTATGGTGCACACTGCTTTAAGTAGTCACCATGCCACTCCACTCGCCATTCGGCTCACTGGACGGCGCTACTGCCCTTACCCTGTTTGCCATCACTCAAACAGAAAACTTGGCAGAAACAATCGAAGAACATGAGTTGCAAAATGCTCCAGTGCCGGCGAACCTCAGTGCAGGCATAGCTTCCTTGTCCGCCCATCTACAGAACTTCGGACCGGACTATGACATCCCACTCTTCGTTAATCCCGACATGGACAAACAAGACATAATCTACAACAATCTCGAAGTCGCCTGGTATATCGCAGCCGGCATGTATTTCCACAATCGAATCGATAACACCTTCATTGATGACATGTCCTTTGCTGTGAATGGGATCTTGATGTGTCTTCTCCGCGCCGAAGAGATCAAAGCACAGGTGGAACCCGATGTGATGTACCGAGATGATCCCGTCACCTTTCCGGCTTTTGTGGCATCCTTGAATGCCATTGACCGCGATCCTTGGGTGCGCTGGTGGGACGCGGTACAGAGATATGGCTTTCCCAACGTTAAAGCACAGTGGGAAGTTATTCAGATTGTTTGGGATATCATGGACAGTATGCAGGAGATTAGGGGAGTTGATTTGATCTGGGTGGACGTTATGAAAGGGCGCGAAGCACGCCGTTTGTCGACTGTATTTGAAGAGCTTGACTTCTACTGAATATGCCCATGCAATCCAGATATTCTTCATCCGTTTGGCTGTTCTAATTTAGTTTAGTTTTCATTTCCTGTTTACCGTTCTCTTCCTCTAATTATGTACACTTCAAGTCTACGCTCAATTCAAGTCTTCGACCGGACAAAGGGCTTTGTGTGTCACGTGATACTATAATTTGTTTGTGTAGGACTTAAGTTGAGATGGTTTTCACCTCTTCCTCTTTCTAGTCTCATTTGTCAGACCCAATACAGTTATACTGCTCCCTCTTCTTTATCCTTTCTGTCCCAAGACCCGCTCTTATTATCGGGCATTTCAAAGAGCGAGAAGAGTACAGCGGACGATCTAGGTCTAACATCTGAAGGAAATCTCAAATCCAAAGATGTTAGAATATGTCATAATGGAATTGAAATTATAACTTACATAATATCCTTTTAAAACAACTTAGTCTTCCGACTATCCAGTCCTATATTGTTAAGTATACCTTCAGAAGTTGTATAAATGGCCAACTGTTCTGCTTCTTTCTAATGACTAACTCACTGTAAATATATAGGAACTTCTCACCGAATGGATGTAATAATTGGAAGTGTGTCTTGTTCTGTAGAAACTGTGAGAGATAACTACGAAGGCGGAGATCTAACTCAATACTATGTAGCACCAAAATCCCTAGTAATTGTCGCTGTACAACGCAATTTTAGGTGCAGCTAAATATCTAACACTTATACAATCTTTACAATAGACGTGGAATGTTGAGACTAATCTGTAGGACTCATCGTGTGGAGCATTGTTAGGAGAGGTCTACGGAGACGTTAAGATGTATGGTGCAACATGAGATTATGATGTTGGAGAGTTAGGAAAGCTAAGAGCTACCTAAACCATCAAGGATAATAGGGTTTCCCAACCATATAGTGTCTATGCCTCAATTGATTGATTGAGAAAAAGGCGTTTATGATTAATTGATCAAACACTGTGAGTGGAGCAAGCATCAAACTCCTTAGTTCTTACTAGCATCAGATCGAACTGGCAGCAAAGATGAATAGACTATCGTTTCAAATCTTTTGACACGCTAGCATGACTGGTATCTCATATCTCGTGTCTAGTAGAGCTATATGTACATACATGGGGCAAGGACACCAAAGACTAAACATGTTGAAACATCAACAGGCTTAGTTCTGCGACCACCTCAAAGTAAGGCGTCTTCACTCCTTTGACTCGCCCCCATTGTTCTTGGTCTCATCCTTCTTAGGCGCTTCCTCCTTCGAGTTGTCTTTCTTGTCGTCCTGGTTTTCCTTCTTAGAATCATCATCCTTGGGCTTCTCGTCCTTATCTTCCGGCTTAGGTTCTTCCTTCTTCTCCTTAGGCTCTTCCTTAGGCTCTTCCTTCTTCTTCTCCTTAGGCTCTTCCTTCTTCTCCTTGGATTCTTCCTTCGTCTTCTCCTCGGGCTCTTCCTTCTTCTCTTTAGTTTCTTTCTTCTCCTTGGGCTCTTCCTTCTTGTCCGCCTTATCTTCGCCCTCATCCTCGGTGTCTGTCTTCCCCTTTTTAGGTGCTGCCTCAGAGGAACCCTCGGATTTCTCGGAAGCCTCTTCTATCTCACCGTCCTTTGCGTGCTCGTCCTTATGTTCGTCCCCGTGAGAGTCATGGTGTCCTTCCGAACCGGAAGGCCAGAGATAAAAGACCATTGGAACGGTCACAGCAGCAGAGACCGCCAACCTACAACCAGACGCAATTAGAATACAGAGTTGAATTGCTCGGAGCCAAGAATATAAACTCACCAAGGCAAGTCACTGGATGCATGCCCTGGTTCATAACTGCCCCCAGTAGACTTAAATCGGCGACCGAGAAGCTGGGCAGACTGGCGGGTAACAGGAGCGGCACGGAAGGACTGAGCTGCAGTCGCAGCACGGAAGATTGAACGGCGCGCAAAGACCATTGTGTAGTAGTAAATTGGTAGAGTAGAAGGAATGGATAGTATAGAAAGTGTGATACGTGGAGTGAATTGTTTAGGTATAAATTAGAAGAGCACAAAGTCCAGATGTCAATTTTAAGACTTACAAACAAATCCCGGTTTTCGCAAGTATGGGGTCGTAAGACCGCATCTTGGTTGTTTCCGAGGTCTGTGCGTCATGATGTAATGGGCATGGCTGGGCTAGGTATTTGGTACCTCAAGAACACGTTGGATGTGGTGGTTTTGAATGGGTAGCAGATACTCATGGAGGACATATTGGGTACAACCTTCAATACCTTGTATGGTATTAATAGAACTGGCATTCCTGCGCATGTTCAAAGGTTGCACTTCGATATCACGTGGATCTCAAGGATCTGATTATCAGATCAAATAATTGGACATTCAAGTTAAAATCAACTTCATTGATATATTATGATGTAAGTACTATCATTGAAGATCAGTAGCCAAGTCCTGGAGATCAAACAGATATTTTGTATTAATACGTCGATATTTTGAGCGTGGATGTGTAATTTAGTGCCTCAGGCGATAAATAATTGACACCTTAGGCGGCAACACCCCACGTTGCGGCGTCGATCGAAAGCTCCCACCGCAAGCTCTCCCCGGTTGCCTTCATATACACTTCACTCGTCACCCGTCACTTTGGGTGCATTTTCCTTCGACCTCATTTACCGATAACAGTCCCAGCCCCATCAATATGGCGGACCGCCAGGTTACCCAGCAGACAATTTTCAGCCTGCTATCGAAGCTTGATGACCCCGATGCCGACTTGAGATACATGTCTCTGAACGATCTATATGGGATCCTGACCAACCCGAACTCTTCATTCCTCTCTCACGACCGTGGTACATCAACAAAACTCGCAGATGGTCTGCTTAAGTCTCTGGATGATCAACACGGCGACGTGCAGAACCAGGCCCTCAAGTGGTTCGTACTGAGCTTTATTCCCCTCCATTCTACTGATATCTAACTCAAATTAGTCTCGGTCCTCTCGCTGTCCGCTTGCCATTTGAATCCCTTACACCTCTCCTCGAGCGATTGACCACCCTGACTGCCTCGCAGACGATAGACACATCCGTCCCCAACACTGCTCTTCGCGTCATCGTCGATACCCTCCCTCGTCCTCAGTCGGGTCAGCCTGCATCTCAAAATGCGATTACGGCGTACTCGGCAGTTTCAAAGGTCTTGGTCCCCCGTTTGACCGGGCCGACACCCTCAAGCACAGGGAGGCGGGGCTCCATGGTAAAGAGCATGATGGAGAAGGATCCATCACGGGGCTTCAGCAGTGATGCGATCGATGTGCTCATCAAGGTCGTGACCTGCTTTGGGCCTCTGCTCCAAGAGTCGGAACTCGCTGCCCTCCAAGTATCCGTCATGGCGATCATCCAAAACGACACGGCTGGAACTGTTGTCACTAAGCGCGCCCTGACAGCCATCTCGGCGCTTGTGCTCCACTTCTCTGACAACCAGCTTAATGACTTTGTGTCCAATTTGACGAAAACATTGTCTTCCAATATTTCCATGGTGCAGCGTCGGCACTTGATCGCTGCAATTGGCGTCATTGCAAGAACTGCACCTGCGAAATTCGGCCCACACCTGGATACCCTTGCTCCTTTTGTCTTCTCAGCAGTCGGGGAGGTTAACGTTGCCCGGGGAAACTGAGCTGTCATAATCGCTGGCCTACAACTCATAGATGTCTGACCGACACTGTAGCCTGGACCCTTACATTTGATGCTGAGGGCTGCTCAGCAGCACAAGCCTGATGTGCTGCATCTGATCTGAATTGGCTATATGCGATCCGGTCATGATCATACTGATCGCATCCACTAGAATGTGATTTGCTGAATCAGGAAAAATGTACTGGGCTCTTAGACCAACCCTCCGATGCCCAAGATGGCCATGGAGTTTACGATACCCACGTTCATATTGAATACAAGCGCGTCAACATCTACCTCTACATCTATATGTAAAGTTTGAGAACTCTTTCTAGGGTTACTCCTTCCTTTTGTGTTTTCAAGTAAACAAATACCTCGAAGCTTCTTGCCTTCTGTGTCCTCCTTCCTGTAGAAATTAGCTCATCCATTACTTCTCGCCCGTCCTTCTTGTTCTTCTCTTTTCTTTTCTCGCCCCGAATCATCTATCATCCCAAACCATTACCTCTTGCATACCCAGTTGAACATAACATAGCCCTATATACCATTTTCAAGATGCGTATTCCTCCCATCCTGGCCGCCACTTTGGCGACGTGCGTGTTTGCTAGAGTCCATGTTGCCAGTCCGGTGCATACGGTCTCGATTGAACAAGCCCAACCAGAAACAGAAACTCATTTGGTCATTCGTGATGCCCCCAACAATTTGGACTATCGCTGTGGCCCCAAGATCGGCCAATGTCCAGTGGGTACATGCTGCTCTGGTGCAGGTATGTGTCAAAACTCGGTTAGATTGAGCAGCTCACTGATCGCATTTCTGTAAAAGGTTTCTGTGGTACGTCTAAGGCGCACTGTCGCTCTCCAGACTGCAAGATTGACTACGGTAAATGTGACGCTCACCGAACGCCTTCTGGACCCCCAACCAAGGAAATCCCCCGTCCTCACATTGGTCAAGTTCCATATGGCCCTCGCGAGATTCGTTCATGTGCTATCCCTGGAACTGTTGCATTGACCTTTGACGATGGCCCGACACGTTACACTGGTGATTTGCTCGATTTGCTTGACAAATACGATGCGAAGGCGACCTTCTTCATCACTGGCATCAATAATGGAAAGGGTCCCATCGATGACCTCACCTTGCCATGGGCTTCATTGATTGAACGAATGCACTCGAGTGGCCACCAGATCGCCAGTCATACTTGGTCGCATGAGGACCTCAGCAAGATCACTCCTTCACAACGCACTGAGCAGATTGAAAAAAACGAAGCTGCCCTGCGTAATATCCTCGGACATTTCCCCACTTACATGCGACCGCCGTATTCCAGCTGCAACCCTGACACAGACTGCGGAAATGAGCTGGGCAAGCTTGGATATCATATCATTTTATATGACATCGACACGGATGACTACAAGAACGATAGTCCAGATCTGATTCAACAGTCCAAGGACATCTTTGATCACCAGCTCTTGTACAGCGACCCACGAACCAAGTCCTGGCTTGTCATTGCCCATGACGCTCATGAACAGACTGTCCACAACCTCACGGAGTACATGCTCAAGGGCATCAAGCGACAGGGCTATCGCGCCATTACTGTCGGTGACTGTCTCCGAGATCCCAGGCCACTCTGGTACCGCAAGGATAGCCGTATTCCCACTCACAAGAAGAAGCCCAAGAAGACTGCTTCGGCAGATCCCAACAAGCCGATCTCTTGGGATGGCTCCTGCGGTTCTAATTACACTTGCCTTGGGTCTACCTATGGTTTTTGCTGTGGTAGTACCAGCTCTTGTGGCAATACCACGAGTCATTGTGGAACCGGTTGCCAAAAGGATGCCGGATATTGTTCCGTCGAGGCTCCTTTCAATGGCGATGCCTGGGATCCCAAGGTTGAAACCACGGGCCACAAGTCGGAAGCTGATTCTGATTTCCGAACCATTGGCACTGCGGCTGCAACATCGTTGTTCCTTGCTTTGTTCGTTGCGATGTGGATGTGATGAATCATCTTGATCTTTGGATTGGATTGCCATGATTGGTTGACCGGGCTTTACATTGTCGAGATTATAGTTATACACACACGCTGTGGCTTTATGGCCAATCCATTCCTTTGAACTTATCGGCAGACGCGGCATGGTTAGTTAGTAGCTCATGGGATAGAAATCAATAAGTTGCAGAATTGCAATACAAAAGAAAATTTCATCTTCTGCTCGACTAATAATCTTAGGCTCTCACATAATCCTTTAAACATGAAATTTCTACTCTAATCATCAAAGTAAATGTAATTCTTTTCGACATTGAGAGTAGCTGATAAGATCTCAAGACAAATCGTCGCAGCTCACACCTGGTCAAGATGTTATCAAGCCAACCTTTCTTCCAAGGTTCCACTCCATATAAATGAGGATGTATAAGCATGCAACCATGGGAGATATGCAGATACCAATACCAACAGAAACAAGCACAAAAAAGCAAAGCAGGCATGCCGAGAACATTCTCTCGAGGGGTATAATGATAGCAGAATAATAGCAGCAACAGACCAACCCAATGCAAGAAAAAAAATATCATAAAACGCAAAATGAAGATGCTGATCAAGAATAAATCAGAAAACCCTTCCTATTTTCGCACCATCTTAAGCAGCGGCGCAATCCTCGCCCTCTTACTCAATCCCACGCGGTAAGGCACCCCACTCCGCGCCGATATGGGGCTGTGTTTATCCGGGCCTTTGTCTGTGTTCTGAGGTGTATTGACAGATGCAGCACTGGGCTTCGAAGGAGTCTCAGGCTGAGGCTGAGGCTGAGGCTGAGGAGTATCAATTGTGGATTCAGGAAGAGGGCCAGTACCAGCAAGTGAATGGGGGTTCTGGTTCTCGCTTTGAATAGCAGATGCATCGATGTTACCAGTGTTAGCCTCCAACATAGATCTGGGACTATTATCGACAACGACAGCCAACTTTGACGCAGGAGTCTGGGCTCCCGAGGGCACCTTCTTTGGTTCTGGTGTATCTGCGGACTCTGATGGTGTCTCCGCTTGATCGGTTGTCTGCTTTCGCTTGCGGCCGCGTTTCTTGAGTGGTGGTTTTTCGGCTTTTTGTGTCTTCTCTTCAGCTGCGGGAATCGGTGCCTGAGGTTCAATACGGGGTTTTGAGTTCAAAACATTGGAGTCTAAATTCTCTCTCGGGGCTTCTGGCAGCGGAGTGTCTTTATCCGTTGAAGGTTCCGAGCTGAGAGGCTTCGTATCCACCCATATCACGTCGTCATCGGTATCAGGCACGGGGGTGGGTGTCGTCTTGCTTTTTTTAGCTTTCTTCTTTTTCGGCTCCTTGGGTCCTGATTTTGCAGGCTTGGGGGGCGCATCTAGATTATCTTCGTCAGTCTCGTCGGAGACTCCACTCGAGGCCGGGGTATTATCTTCCGTGGTCTCTTCGCTATCGGAGGGGTCAATCGCACCATTTGCGCCAGGGTTTTTGAATTCGTGATCCCGAGAGTTGGCTAGTTCATCGTCTTCATCGTTATCTGGCACAGGTTTCTTCTTGGGCCGTCCTCGCTTCTTCGTTGTACCGGGCGTCTCGACGTCTGGCGCAGTTGGTAGGACAGCTGGCAGAGCGAGCTCATCGTGCGCGCTTGACGGGGATTGCTGCGGGGAAATGAGACTGGTTCCGGCGGTATTGCTTTTTGCTTCGCTGAATCGCATGGATGCAACGGAGGAGAGAGGCTCGGTGTCATGGGGGGAAGAAGGACCCGTCTGCTGAGATTTGGGCTGTGAGGCTTCCTGGGGTGGGTTTGGGGGTGGATTCCCCTGTTCCACGAAGGGCTCGGTAGCTTGGTGAGGAATGATTTTCGAAGGCGAAGCCATTAAATTAGTGGTGTCAGGTGGAGTCAAGTCATAGGTACCCCGTCCGGTGAACAACAAAGTCTGATTTGCATCGGCGTAGGCGCCAATGGGTGCTGGATTATATGTGAAGCTGCCACTATCCGGTTGATCCATATGATACGAGTGGTAGCTTGGTATGGTAGGAAAAGGTGCAGGTTGAAAGGATTCTGTCGAGTACAGCGCAGCTGTAGAAGGGAGCAGTAGGCTCGCACTTGAAGGGTCGTCGTCTAGTAGTCTTCTCTGCGCAATTCCGATCTCCGTCATCATGGCGCCTAGATCATCTTCGGTATCAGCATATAGATCACATCTTTATTTTTGTGCTTCAAATTATGCTATCACATCGTACCAACCGACCCACTTCCACCCTCACTGGTTGAGGGGATCCATTTGTCCTCCCGCCGCTGCTGCGACGACGATAGCATCGAATGGCCCCTTTCTGGCGATTGGAGGAACTCGTCAAAATTGACGTTCAGCTGCGAGAACGTGGTTTCATCGGGAGCAGGCCCATGTTCATATACTGCATTGTGGGTCGTCTCTTTGGCGGGGGCATGTTGATATTCCTGCAATGCGGGCTCGGAGGGGTGGACAGGGCCGACCGAGGTGGGAAGGTCGTCGACCTCGAGGGGTTCGTCCTCGTCAGAATCCTGAATGACACGATCCAAACTCATTGGGATTTAGTTATCAGTGTTGTCAGAACTAGTGGCTTTGATCATTGGGCGAAAAGAAAGTTGTCTAACGCGTCCCTGACACGACAGCACGTGATGATAAGGATGCATGATAAACTCTTATATAACCTCATGTTGAGCCCTGGAGAACATACCCTCCGCCAACATGGTCAATCTACTTTGTTTAAGAATCTGTTCTAATTTTTGACTCTCTGAATTAGATTTTAACGTACAGATAGCGAAATACGGTAAAATAGCCATTTTTTGTTGATTACTTAGCTACCCTACCGTCCTTGGACTCCTTGATCTTCTTCGATAACGATTGATATCACACTCTCCCGTCGGCTTGCGGGGAGTAATTTTGTAATAAACACTACAAGGCCGTTTGTTCCTCGTCTCTCTGCCATGCTTCGCAAGAAACCGTTCCCCATACCTTCTCCCGGGCCACCTTTACCCCCCGGCATACTCGTTGATGAAGAGATCTCGCCACTATACGATTCCAAGTACTTCTACCCAGCAAAACCTGGAGAGTTATTTACCGGTTGTTACCAAATATTGGTCAAGGTTGGTTGGGCGTGTCTTCAACAGTATGGCTCGCGCGTGATTTGCAAGGGTAGCCTTCGATCATTTTTCTTCAATTTGAAGCTCTCTCTGTGTCTCTAACAACTATGTAGGTAGATTGAAGAGCCGAAAAACGTTGTGGTACTGAAAATTGCCAATAACAACGCGAGTTCCGCTAGTCATGAGCGCGAAGTTGAAGAGCATATTTCCACAGTAGACCCATCACATCGCGGTCGCTCACTTATCCGAACATTACTAGATTATTTTGAGGTTAGATGTCCCAAGGGCTCTCACCTGTGTCTTGTATATCCGCCTATGAAGGAGCCACTGTCGATGTAACAGCGGCGCTTTGGCGACAGAAAGATGCCACTGCCCCTCATCAAAATATACATTCGTGCCCTTCTTACGGGGCTTTATTATCTACACAAAGAATGCAGGACAGCTCATACGGGTAATTTCATCTTCGGCCTTGCCTCCCGTCGGCAATACTAAATCCAGGTGGCTACCTAAATCTGAAGCTTGAGAACATCATGGTCTCATTCGAGGATCCAACCGTGCTTGTTGATTTCATGGATTCTCAGCTTGAAAGCCCGATGGCTTTCAAGATTGATTCAGCGGGACGACCAGTGTACCACTCCCGCCTAACTTCGAGCCACTCAAAAACCCGAGAAGTATACCACAGCTTGTCGACTTGGCTTGGCAACCAGACTGGAGGAAGACGATGACTGGGGCGTTTGGCCTATTCAGCCAGACCACTATCGGGCGCCAGAGATGATATTGGGTAATGGATGGCAAATGCCTGCGGATATTTGGAATATTGATGTTCTGGTGCGTCCCGCTGTTCCCCAGAGTGGTTGCATCCACTAATTCTAGACCACTTGTGGGATATGATCGAATGCAAATAGCTATTTCGGCATATTCATGATTCAAAAGGTCGCTACGATGCTAAACTACACATCGCTAAAATGATCGCCTTCTCGGTCCACCCCCTTCAGAAGTCATACAAAGGTATCAATACATGCGAGAGTACTCGTGTCCGCAACCTGTCAGACGAGAAGACGGCAGATTATGTGAGACCGCGGAGTATTTCTGTGAGCCGTTCTTTGACAATAATGGTATTACTAGGTTTCCTATCTCGAACGAATATCCTCAAACTCAAAAAACTTCTTAGGTCGCTTCCTCTACGAAGACCTGATCCCCGACCGCAAACTAGACGCCACGGCTTCCTTCCTTGAGGGAGAGGAGAGGGAAGCGTTTCTGAATTTTGCCAGGGGAATGATGGCCTGGCATCCAGATTCGAGAAAAACGGCAGGCGAACTATCGGGCCAAGGCAAACAAGCGCCTGATTTCTGCGAGCGTTTGCTAGCGGAATGATGTTGATCCCAGCTCGGCAATGCCATCAGATGACCGGCTGAAGCGTGAACGTGGTTGTATTTTTGAATGACATCCAACAGAGAGTCAGTCTATCTGCCATTGATCGGAGAGTAATAGCGCCATACCTTCAAACGGATCCAAGACATCAATCGCAATTTTATCAAGGTCATAATTCTAAAAATTAATTGCCACCCGCTCTCCCGGCGTGTCCCCGGTTAGAATCTGCCGGACACGGCACCCAACGGGGCTAACTTGGGGGCTAGACTGTTTTAGTGGGAATTTACAGCCCTGTCTTTCATCACAGACTTTATACACTTTAGGTATGTGCATTGTAGATCTACATTTATATAATATACCCGAAGCCCAACTGTAGCGAATTCCCTGGTAGCGTAAATGTTAGCATGCACCACACTTGGCTATTCTCGCATATTAGAACCAATCTGGGAACGGATTCCACAAAATCAATAGTATTGCTTTAGTGCTGACAGAATCATTTCCGTTGGAACGTATTGCGCAAATATCCGATATCCGTTACTAGCTCCTTCTTCTTCTTCCTCCCCTCCTTATCCCCCTCCATCGTCAACTCTCGGCTAGTGCCACTTCATTATCTTGCTAAAATATGTGCAGGGTCAAGATACTGCACCCTGGTTTAATAATTGGAGTGGAATGGTCGCGTAAATGTTAGCATGCACCACAATCCAGGCTTATATGTATATCGAAGTGTCAAAGATCTACTCCATGCTAGACAGGGTACATACATTGTACCTGTCGATCAATGTAAGCTTAAGACCAGAGGCATGCAGCATCCATACCAGGAAATGCCAAGCGATCACAAATGCAACACGTCAGCCTACTTTGTTAAATCAATGTGCTTACTTCACAATGTGAAGATTAGAAATTTATCTCCGCTTTTTAGATTGGGTACGTAAGTGGCATACCCTTAGACGAATCATATCCAACCCGATTGTATATGGAATTCGTAGATTATATATCCTGGAATCAGGGACCGATTTAATATTAATATATTTCGGCAAATTTTCGTAGATTAAACGTTAGTTCCGAGGTTACCGATCTGATAAAACAGGGTTCCAAAACTTCAGGATCTGATAATGGGAACTCTGTTGCAGATCTAGCCAAAAAGGGGAATTTGCGGGTCCAGCCGAGAATCTCGGCCTTATCTTCCCTGCACAGTACTGATCTCCGGTACTTTCCATTGGCTTGAAACGAGTGCAATCTCGGTCCTTGGCAATTACTTCTTCATAGAAATTGTCAAACCCGGTGATATAATGTGTTGATCACACACATGGGGGGCATTATTGTGGTACTTTTTTCTTCGTTAAGCCACTCAGCAAGTTGAAACCATGCCGATCGTTATCAGTCTATCCAATCAACAAGCCATCAAATCGAACCCGAACCCGAACGGACTTTGACGGTTTTTATTAGTCTCTTGAAACATACGCGGCAGAAATGGTTATATAAAGAGTGATCGGCTGCCCAACATACTCGATTCTCACAGAAATCCAAGCATCGTCCCGGTGCAGAACATCATGTTCTTTTTCTCCCTTCTGGCCCTATTGGGTCCTACACTTTGCCAGGCCGCCTGCCCCTACGCGCATTTGGCAGATACCAGAGACCTCGACACAAGCATCAAGCCTCGCTCTGATGTCGTGCTCCCTCGCGCTGTGCCGGGAAAGAAAGGCATCATGTTGCTGAACCGCATCAATCCCTCCTCATCACAACTGTACATTGCCAATGCGGACGGCACAAATGAGCGCTCTTTGCTGGGCGACAACTCCAACTATGAATACCATGCTTCCTTCCACCCAGACGGTAAACACGTCGTCTTCACCTCCGAACGAAACGGCGATGGCAACTCCGACATCTACATGGCCAACGTCGACGGCACCGGTCTGAAACCAATTGCAACCACACCCTCGGTCGAAGATGCAGCAGTCATCTCCCCCAATGGCAAATACGCCGCCTACGCATCCACGGCCGGCGTCTACACCTCTAACATCTGGCTCACGAACCTCGAGACCGGCGTTACCCGCAACCTCACCAACCAGACCGGTGTAACAGGCAAGCCTGAATCGCCAAACGGATTCTTTGCACCTGCCTGGTCTCCTGATGGAGAATGGATCGTATTCTCCTCTGATCGGAACACCGCGTGGACCGGTCACGACAATGGCACTGGCTGGGAGCATACTCAAGAACTGGCTATCTATGCCATCACCCCCGAGGGAACTGGTTTCCGTGAGGTGTACAGCAAGCCGGATTACACCTACGGATCGCCCAGGTTCTCTCCCGATGGCAAGCGAGTTGTGTTCTACGAGATGACTGTGCAAGCAACTTGGGATGCGCGGTCGTCATACTCCGTCAACTCCACAACCAACCAGATCGTTTCTGTGGACTTCAAAACGGGAACCGATTTTGTGCAACACACCAATACCTCCGGCGTCAAGATCTACCCGCAGTATGTCTCGAAAACTGACATTGGATACTTGCTCAAGGGCGGAGACAACGGCGGTATTCACTATACCTCCAGCTCGAAGAAGATTCTCGGCGGTATGCGCTCGCCTGCGTGGTCTGCCGACGGCAAATATGTGGTCTATGAGAGGACCGGCTGGGATATCCGGCCTTTGCAAAAGGAGCTGTGGTCCTGGGACTCGGAATGGGATTACCGCTTCATGGATGTCTTCCCCGATCTCTCTCTTGACGGACAATTGACCTTCACCTCCAAGCAGACGGGTAACCCCGGCAACTCTTCTGTGGTCGTGATGCCTCCCGGCGACACCGACTTCACCGTGGCATTCGATACCTACGAAACCGATGCGCTCGACGAAGCCACCGTTGCCAAGGGCGGCGGTGGATCCTTCCAGCCCTCGTGGTCATCCGATAGTAAATGGATTACCTTCAGTCTGGGCTCGTGGTTCCAGAGCCGTGGCGAGAAGCCCGGCTGGATCTTCCGGACCAAGCCAGATGGATCGAGCTACGAGCAGCTCACCTTCGGCAACTCCTCCAACAAGGGTTTCCCCAGCTTCTCGCCCGACAACAAGAAGATCGTGTACCGTGAATACCTGCCTGAATTTGGCCTGCGTCTGCTGGACCTGGAGTCCAACGAGACTGCCACCCTGACGACCGAGCGTGATAACCTACCATTCTTCTCGCCGTCTGGCGAATGGGTGTTGTTCACGCGCAACATGACCGACCTGTCAAGGAACGAGTTCTCGAACTACGAGGTGTGCATTATTCGTCCTGATGGAACAGATTTGACTGTGCTCACCACGTCGTTTGCCAACGATGCCCACGCTGTCTGGACTGCTGATGGCCGTATCATGTGGTCGACTGGAATGTGGGGATTCCAGGCTGAGGCTGCGACTTATGACGATACCTTCCAGCCCTATGGCCAGGTTATGGTTATGAATGTGGATGGCTCGAACAAGACTGTTCTCACTGATAGTTTGTGGGAGGATTCGATGCCGCGTTATGTGCCAAATGAGTTCTTGGGGCAATGAGATGCGGACTATTCCAATAGTGAAGTTGAAAGGACGTTATATCAAGTACAAAGATACCAAATTTAAATATCTCAGGCGGTTTTCTTTACCATTCGTTTTGTCAAACCAGTAGATAACTGTCTCAATATTTTTAAATATAATCTCCTGCGTTCAAGGATCCGTAAAATAATTTAATAGGGTATAGAGTTGTGGGCTATCATTATGTGCTAACCCTCTGAGGGCCTATGAAGGCATGGTTTAAGCAGAATGGCAGAAAGCCATGGGTTGTAGCCGTTACTTGAAATATATATTAAGCTACCTTTGTGTCTCGTTAACTGTCGAGTTTGGATATGAGCTACGTAGGGATTACACCGACAGGCCTGAGACCACATTTTCTAGGCCTCCATCGCGACCGGACTCTCTCTCTCTCTCTCTGTTTTTCTGACTCACTTCCTGTTTTCTTAATAGAATCAGCCTCTCGTCCCTTAAAATCTTGTTCCACCTACTTGGTTCGCGTACGTCCAGTTTCGCCATCAAGGCAGCTAGCGGTGGATTGCACGCGTGTCGTCTATTTTACTCCTTTCACGTTCTCAGAGCGAACATGACGAAAGAATTCACTGATGTGAAATTTACCGACGTTACCATCCTCGGTATTCTCCATGAGGGGGAGGTGTCAGCTGTGTTCAAGGTGATTGTTCACAAGACAACATGCGTGATGAAACTGGTAAATAACTAGACAACCTCGAGATTCTTCTGTTGGTCATACTAAATTCTCACTTTCAGTGGCATGACTGGCTCCCAAGAGACTGCGAGAGCCCTTTTGTCCGTGAAACCACTGCCTATCGCCAACTAAAAGCAAATGGCCTTTGCGAGCGAGGCGTCATACCCGACTTCTACGGAACAATCACCGATATCAAGCTGTCTATATTACCGAGCCAATGGCCACAGGACACATACTCAATTCAGTGTATGTTTCAAGAAGACAATTCACCGCTTGACGCTCTTCTACTCGAATACATCCCCGGCCTTGAGATGATAGACCTATCCAATTATTCAGCACAATATTTGGATGACATCCGCCAAACCTGAGTGACATACATCTCGCGCGAGTTTACCACGGGCCCAGAAACACGATGATATCTCGCGAACAAAACAGAGTTCTCTGGATGGATTTTGAACGCTCAGAGACATTTCCTGAAACTTCAACCCTTGATCAAGAGCAGAACGAGATGTTGGAAGAAGAGAGAATGGCGGTAAACGAATTTATAACAGCCCTGGTATGTGTTACCTCAATTTACAGATGGATTTAGGATTTACCTGACATTTTCCGAGACCAAAGACCACAATAAGGGGGAGTTAAGACTTGCCATGATATACTATTAGAGTGAGTGACACGGGTGAAGAGAAGACATGGTAGACTTGTTCTTGACGTGAACATAATGGCTTTTGTTGGCAACAATAGGCCTAGAAACCATGTGATCCTTACAGAATCTCATACGAGCAGGAAGATCACACCTACGGCAGGATTTTGGGTCCATCGCGCCAACCTATGTACAAGCCCTTATCAGCATGAGATTATATATCAATTTTGAAGCGGTAGTTTTATACACTCGATATATGCCCTACTCCACAACCATTATTATATCTAAATCGCTCGTACATCCCGTAGAGAAAGTCTAGAGCTACTACAAAAACCTCCTCATTGTCATCTTTCTACCGATCTTTTTTAAGGTCTTTTTTAAGGTCTTTTCTAGGGTCATTGAGAATATAACTGCTAAGCATCCCTTAATAGGGTGATACGATCATATAATAGTGGCGTTCTAATAGAGGCTGTGTCGGGTTCTGAACTAAATGGATTTAGGCTTAGCGTTGATTGAATAAGTTTTGTTATTTAAGATGTCCATGTGAATGGGAAAAATCAAAAAAAAAAAAAAAGAAGAGGTCGTGCCCGGGATCGAACCGGGATTGCTGGTATCAGAAACCAGAGTGATAGCCATTACACTACACAACCTAATTTGATGAAAACGGGTTCCATAATGTGCATTATAAACCAAAACTCCACTTACCCACTACGAACAGGTAATGCCCTAAGAGACTCGAGCGTTAATTCTACCTTGACCTTTATTGATAGCTAGATCTTAGAAAACTGCCAATGAGTAGGTTAGACCTCATTAATCTTTTCTTCTTCTCAAATCAGTTAGTTGTTTTGGAAATGTCTTTCTCGTTATCCAAATAGCATTGGGTCTCTCTCTACGTTGAATATATATACATCGGAACAAATAATCGCACAGAAGTGACATCCATTGAGGATGTCAGATCAAGTAATATCTAAGTTGATACAGCAGAATAACTGTGACCAGTATGGAGGTATTGCGATCAGAATCAAACGTCCTAATTTGTAGCTAGCTTAGCAGCTAATTCAACGAATTCTAGTATTCATATCTAGTATATTTTGCACGACTAAGAGGGCAGCTTATCGTTTACCACTTAAGAGTGAGCCTTTAAAATTAGCGACGTCTGTGGGTATGATTCTTGTTCTCTGGTTTACGAGTATGGCATTTGCAACGACGATGCCCTTGAGGCTAGCACTGGCTCGGTGTCAGCAATGCACAATTCTATACCCTTTAGTAGATGACCCCAAATTTCATCAACCACAATGAGTAACCAATGAGGAATTTGAGAATGTATATGTATAGTTCTAGCAGATGCAGACTGGCTTATTCTTCACCTTCTGCGCGTTAGTCCCGGCCGAGCAGGCGACTGGGCAGGGCTTTGACGTAGGCAGACTTAACCCGTTGGCCGGAGTATGCTTCAGCTTATGAGCATATTTTGTTTACTCCATATTATAGGACATACTATCTGTGAGATCCTGTGGGATAGTCTATGTAACTCTACTTCCATATAGTTTGATTATTCACTTTCGTGTAATATATATCACCGTTTCCATCTGGTCAAGTTCATTCGTAGATAACCCATAAAACCTGTGGGATAGACTACAACCCGATGATAGATATCAAGGCTTAGGATTAATGTATCTTACATAGTGGTGGTATAATATGTAAATAAAATTTTATTTTCTAAGTGATACTGCATGGCCTCGGGTATCTCCGCGTACGGGAGGCTACACTAAGAAGCCGGGCATAAAAACGGGAGCTCTACAAACTGAACTGCAGGGATGAAGACAACCTGGATGAAGATGGAAAATATAAGATCGGATTATATACCAAGTCACTGTGAGTTCGTCATTTTGGAGAAAGCGATTTATTTTCTTAATTTTGATTATAATGCCGGCTGTGAAATCGTGAAGCAACAAATAGGTTGTGTAGTGTAATGGCTATCACTCTGGTTTCTGATACCAGCAATCCCGGTTCGATCCCGGGCACGACCTTTTCTTTTTTCTCTTTTTATTTTTGGCAAGACTTCTTTTAACCTATTTAAATGTTGGATTTCAAGTTACTAATCTAGTTATTGTGCTTGGTAAGTTCAAGGCATCGTAGTATCAACGCCTATGCAGAAATGTGCATATCATTAATATAATTATACGAAGTCACAGCATGCTCGCCCTAATAATAAATGAGGGGTGTTCCTTCAATTTCTATCATATAGAACACCATAAAGTATAAAGGAAAAGTCGAGGTATGAGATAATTCAAAACCAAGAGCATCAGGTCTCACGCCGAGTATTCCACCTGCTCACTCTTCGCATCAGCCATTTCCATCACCTCATCAGAATCTGCAAACGCCTTGTCACCGAATGCAACAGCAATCTCCTCTAGAGAATGATGTGCTGTCTCGACATAGTAAAAGTGAACGAGGATGGCCGAACTGAGACAAAATCCTGCGATCACCAGGTAGAAATAACCGTGGATACCAGAGAAAGCGTCGGGAGAGACCATCCCAATGATGAAGTTGAAGATCCAGTTGCTAGTCGTGGCCAAGGCCATGCCTTTACTCCGGCCCCGGAGTGGGAAGATCTCTGCAGGAAGAAGCCATGGCATTGGACCCCAGGTGAATCCGTAGATGATATTGTAAAGCATAACGAAAGCATACTGGCCGTTCGCTTTGACTTGGACATCCACGTTAATTTCGGTGAAGACGCAGACAATGGCCAGTAGTACGGCCATACCGAGACCTATAGTTGGATCGTTAACTTTCAGTCGCTAATCAACTTGATTGTCCCCTTGAACTGACCTCCAAGAATGAGCAAAGGCTTTCGGCCCCACCTATCTGCCAACCACCAGGTAACAACTGTGGCAGCGGTGTAGGGAAGAGCATTCGCGGCAGTGAAGAGCAGAGATTTGCGATTATCATAGCCAGCGGAGGAGAGGGTGCTCGGGAGGTAGAAGGAGATGATGTTGATTCCGTTGATCTGTGCGAACATCTGCACCGTGATTCCAACAATGGTTCGTTTACGATATCGGGTGAACATTTCCTACAAAATGGCGATCCAGGGTTAATGATCCACGATATTAACAAGTCACAAGTAGGGGAGCCTTACCTTCCAACTGGACTTCCCAAGGTTGTTCTCATAGATAACCGCTTCTTGAATTTCAAGGAACGTCCGCTGAACATGCTCCGCTTCCGTATTACCATCAGAGTGTAGATCTGCAATCGTTTGCAAGCTTTCATCCACGAAACCATTCAACGCCAACCACCGAGGGGTTTCTGGTAGGAAGAAGGACATGCCAAACAAGACAAAAGAGAACACAATCTGGATGATAAAGGGCCCCTGCCATGAAATATGATGTGGCAGCAAGAAGTTAAATCCATAGTCTACCCAGCAAGAAATCATATATCCGGCGATCAAACAGGTATACTCTATACCGACCATCAAACCTCGACGATGAGGGGCAGCAATCTCTGTTTGAATGATAGGCACAGTCATGGAGAGAAAGCCCACGCCCAGTCCTTGGATGGTGCGGCCTGCAATGAAGGCTCCAAAACCAGGTGCAAACATCTGGATAAACGAGCTGAAGAAGTAGATGAAAGCGCCGAGGCGGACACATTTCTTTCGGCCAATTATGTCACCGAGACGACCTGCTATGAGTGCTCCTACCGCCGCTGCTGCTTGCAAACATGCAACCGATATGCCTGTAATCGAGGGATCGACCCCACTTGTCGTCCCATCGGCCCCTCCATAGTTTTTGAAGAAGCGAGCTATAAAAACCTCGTTGACCAGCAGGCCGGACATGATACCTATTAAGTCAGCAGCTAAAGCGACAATATATTCGAGGATGTCATACCAGAGTTATAACCGAAAAGAGCATCTCCCAAGCTGCCAAAGGCACATGTTGCATATAGTAAAGGTGTGCCTTTGAAGGGATACCTGGCCGAGACCTTCTTAGGTTTGAGTTTCCTCTCCAGCCAGGTCTGTTGTTCCTCAACTTGCGCGGCGACAGCGAGGGAACGCTCCCTGAGGGTCCCACTGGGAGCCGGCTCGGAAGATTTCGTGATGGTCATAGTGCTGAAGAGCAATTGACCAACGATAACAAGGATACAAACCACTTGTGGATTTGATCAAAAGATATTTTGTGACAACATCGATAGCTGGCCGGGCAATTGGTTTACATTTATACCCCAGACACGTGGAGAAGAGAAATTTTCTCCAGGATAACGGGGAAATGGATACTGAGGTACATCATGGGGTCACCAGCTCGGTGGTTTACCGAATATGTTTTTATGGCTCGGGATTGCTATTGGACAAGGAGGTACCTAGTCGGCCTTGGTTTCTGGGCATTCATCCCGGGAAAAGTCGCGCTACTATCATTTAGAGCTACACATAAATTTTTGACACTTCAATTTTATGGGTTGAACGGTTCCGGGAGTATAAGGTGGAGCCCTCTCGGTTCCGGTGGCGAATATCAGGTCCTCTAACATTTGAGTGTCCCGGTTCCTGTCCCGGTTCCTGTCCCGGGATTTGAATTCGGGATATGTGGGGAATACCGAACAGAATATAATAGACACATAGAGCCGATGATCCGCCGGATAACTCTCAATATATTGTATATAGGATCCGTAAACTCAAGTTTTATATAATGTAGCTAGGTAAAATCTCCACATTCATAATATTTAAAGCTCAATAGAATCCCAGAAGCTTTGTCCATTCAAACCAAAAAGAAAACCGCAAACATGACCGTCACAGAAGCTGCCCAGGTAGTCCCAGCCCTAGTCCGTGACCCAAACGTATGGGTTGATATTGCACCTGCTTACTCTAAAAACTTATCTAGACTACCAATCAGGCCTTTGTACTGCATCCCGGCGGCACATTTACATTCGAAGAACGCAGCATACCCACACTCCAGTCAGACCGAGATGTCATAGTCCGAGTCATGGCCACAGGTCTCTGTGGTTCAGATGTGAGTGAAATGCCTTCGGTTCCAATCCCACGTTATTTTCCCATATCTATTTCCTCAATGCAATTAAATCTAACAAAATCCTCGCCATACAGGTCCACTACTGGCAACACGGCCGGATAGGCCCATATGTCGTCGAAGGCCCAATAACCCTAGGTCACGAGTCAACAGGAGTGGTAGTAGAGAGCGGAAGCGGAGTCCAAGGCCTAGCCGTTGGAGACCGTGTCGCCCTCGAACCTGGCATCGCCTGTAACACCTGCAATCATTGTCGCAACGGCCGCTACAACCTGTGTAAGGCGATGCGATTCGCCGCAACACCTCCTTACGACGGAACACTCGCTACCTACTATCGCTTACCTGCAGAATGCTGTTTCAAGCTCCCACCCCACATCTCCATGCGCGACGGCACCCTGATCGAACCTCTGAGTGTAGCTGTGCACAGCTGTCGCTTGGCAGGTTTCATGCAGGATAAATCAGTGATTATATTCGGAGCTGGGCCGGTCGGATTGCTCTGCTGTGCTGTTGCGCGGGCCTTTGGTGCGTCAACGGTAGTCGCTGTGGACGTTGTCCCGGCTCGGCTTGCTTCTGCGGTGAAATATGGTGCTACGCACACATATCAAATGAGCGATGAGACGGCGGATAAGAATGCGGTGGATTTGTTGGCGGCTGCTGGTTTGGATGGTGCTGATGTTGCTCTGGATGCCACTGGGGCTGAGCCTTGTCTGAACTGTGGTATCCTTGCCCTCGCGCAGGGTGGGACTTTCATTCAAGTGGGTTTGGGGAAACCGAACCTGTCGGTTCCGGTTGGTCAGATCTGTGATAAAGAGATTGTTTTCAAGGGAAGCTTTCGGTACGGGCCTGGAGACTTTAAACTGGCCATTGGATTGCTGGACTCGCGCCGGATCAGGCTGGATGGTCTCGTCACTCATGAATTTCCTTTCGGTCAGGCTGAGGACGCTTTCAAAAATGTCGCTGGTCGTGGTGGGATTAAGAGTGTGATATATGGCCCGGATGTCGATGAGGAAGAGGCAAGAGCAAGTTTAGTATAGCTCCTGCCTTTGTGACTTTAAATTATTGATAAAAAGAAGATTGAACATGCTACTACCAGGATGAACGTGGATGCTCTCTTCATCTCTTTATGTTTGTAGTGATTTTTAGATAGACCGCCGACTATCCTCCAACTCCATTCCATGTCATATCCCATAACCAATACAACCCGCCTTCAACACTATCCTGGTGGTTGTTTTCTAAAGGTTCTCGGGACAGACCAGGCATACTCCAATCGTATTCTGCTGGCTGCCAGACTTCATGTGTCTGTATGCCTGGCTCAACAAACTCACGAAATTGAAGGTTCTCTCCGCCAGTAGGAATGCCGGAGCGATCCCCTGGACCCAATGCTGGAAAATATATTTGCGTTAGCAAGTTCCATCATTTTCGCTTCCTCGTATGAATGTAATCTCACCATATTGGACAGATGTTAAGCTATTATTCAGGCGATCAGCCCTACTGAGGTCGGGTAGACGCTGATCTCGAGCAAAAGGATTGCGAGAATCCCATGCTGCATCGAGCGGCATCCGAAGTGTATCCTCAACAGAAATCAATGACGGATCCGCCAGGTTCTGCAAAGGCTGGTGACCCATCACCTGGCTTGTACCGGTAATTGGAGCAAGCATGGCAGCTGATTCCCGACGGAGGAGCATGATAACAACATTCTTCAGCACAGCCGTGCTTTGTTTCGACAGTGCAAATCGTCTTCCGAGCAGATCTTGTAGACGAAGAATGCGAGTAATTGTGCGTTTTACTTCCTGCGCGGTATCAGAAAGAGGCTCGGAAAGAGCCATCACAGCCAACACAATTGCGGCGTTGAATAGGTTGATGGCAAGAAATGCACCGAGATGGCTGTCAGTGGCGAGCTGGGCCAGAGCTGGCATTTCTGTCACCCTCGATGTTCTTGTTGCGGCATTCATCCATAGATCGGGGCTTGTGGTCTGGGTATTGGGAAATGTGGAGTCGGAAGGTAAGTTTGACTGCGCCACGGAGGGACCGGTGTTCGGATGGTACATGATGTTATCTGTTCTGCTTCCTTCCGGTGATTGCTTGTTCACGGTATAGAGATGATCAACCTGCCGTGCTAACAAAGGTCGATGCAGTACAATGAGAACATTGTCGTAAGTCAATTGCAACGACAGAGACTGCAGGGCGTGTGCTCTCGAGCTCGGCCTATCATCGGGATCGAAGTCCCGATTAAGATCCAAAGCTAAATGGCTCGGTAGGCAGGATCGCCATTTCTGGAGGTTTTCGGTGGCGTGTCTAACTAGTGCAAAATATGTGTCGCCGTTGAGCTCTTCGGACGTCCGTAGAGTACGTGAGCCGAAAACGGTCTTGAGGGCAGGCGATGCAATCAAGTAAAGATGGTTCAACTCCCGTTGGTAGGTTGAGTAGCATATGGGACTAGCCTGACCGGAAGCTGGAGCAACAAACTTCGGGTTCTCGAACACATCCGTTGGCATGTCAAGATTGCAATCTTTGTCGTTGATGCCCAGTGGACGGCCATAGGTAATTGAGGCGAACCTATCCCATGTGTAGATCGTCCACCACACTCTTTTTCTTTCCTCGATATTTTCAAAATCCCCCCGTCCAAGTCCCCGGTGCATTCCTAAAGACTGAGACATCTTTATCGTCGCGCCTAATAAGGAAAATGAGAGATTTGGACGGCCGTGATAGACATGATGCGATCCTAAGAGAATGCACGTCTGGGCGGAGGTGATTGAGGGTTGGTCCATCAATTCCACTACATTGGACTCAACCAGTCCCAACAAGTCTGCGCTCAATTTCTCCATATAATCGTTGTTGTCGGCCGGATCAGTGCAACTCTTTTGAGATCGATACCATGACGACATTGCAAGCATCATGGCTAACAGCACGAGAAATGGTCTTTGCGAGGGGTATGCATAACCATCCGCGATGGAAAGGAGGCTCTTTCTGAATTTTGGTTCGTACACGGCGAGAGAAAACCAGTGTATGGCATCAAAATAATCCTCTAACAGACTGTATACAAGCTCCATAGGAGGGAACGGCTGCCTCAAAATGGAAGATATCGGAATGCGTTGGCCAGTTGCTGAATTTGCCAAGGAACCACCGCTGCTGGCCTGGTAGCCAGGTATGGCGGACGTGATTTGTTCATCAATATTATGGCTGCCAAGTTGACAGATTCTGCGAGCAATTCCTATGGCGGATTCGGCTTCACCGCAGTCGAGAGACGAAGGCATATTCCGATCTCCAGCGGGGAAGTCGGCATCATTGCTGGTAGGGCGGCCATTTATCAATCTACTCTGATCGGGGCTTCTTTCACCGCGACCAGGGCCATTTTCATCTGGCGACTTTTCGGTATTAGTCACCGGAGTAGCCACTGGAGAGCGATTTGATTGATTTCGGTCAGTGCGCGGGTTTCTTCTGGAACCCAGGCGCCTAATATCTCATGTAAGTAGCAGAACAAATTTAAAGCCTCCCGCTGTATGGCTTACTTCGGCAGAGTGGCCCTCCGCGGTTGCGTCGTTGGAAGTGGTCGACAATCAACCTTGGCTCGGATACAGACCGAGCAAGGTCGAACAGGATCACACTACGGGCAAGTTGGATTCAGTATATTTCACTAGGTCCTAGCCAGAGGGGTTTTACCCGAGATTTATGGCGACGACATCTTTCGCAGGCGCTCCGAACTCTGGTTGGCAATGGCGACCGGACGTAACTGCTCTCGACAGATTCATTAAAATCCCCAGTCATGATGAGGTATCGGAAGGTGAAAGGATATCGGCAGAAATAAGATTTCGGGAACCAATTTTGCGGTAGCGCTCCAGGGCTGGTCACGCGTTTGAATTTATCTCTCCTTTAGGGCTGTCTAAACTTGGAATATACTGGTAGATGCCATTGGCGTAGTCAATCTAGCCTTGCATATCTTATTGACCCAATTCGTTAGAACTCTAATAGAACATCGTCAACGGTATATTTGACATGGGCTCGGGTGTCTTTCGAGGTCGTAGGGCATTCGGGGCCCACGGGTGGGTGACCCCTGGGCCCGGGCCCCGGGGCTAAACCCGCACTAAGCACGTGGACTCGGGGCCCGGGGTGGTTAGGTATTTCCGTGCGGATATACATAGTAGGCTTCGAAGCTAAAATTTAGACTCGTTATTTTAATTTGATATTATTGCTTTAGGGCGTATTAAGAAATATCAAGAAAAAGAAATCCTTGAGAAAAAGAAAATACAAAAAAGAAGAGGTCGTGCCCGGGATCGAACCGGGATTGCTGGTATCAGAAACCAGAGTGATAGCCATTACACTACACAACCTGATTTGTTGAAAGCAGGCTCCATAATGTGCATTATAAACCAAAAGATAATAAATAATCATAACCTCTATACTGGCTAGCGCATTAGCAGTACTCTTCCGGTCTCTGGTAGATATATTTCATTTTTCCTCTCATTCCTTTCTTCCCTTATTTCTCTTTTTCTCTTTTTCTCTTTGATTCTTTCTATACTCCCAAGTACTAACTATGGTATTTCCATGTTGATCAAAAATGGGCGTTATGGGCAGAACCAGGCTCGTAAATGTCAACTTGATGACGAAGGAATCCGCCACCATCCCTATAATGTTATGCCATAAACACTAAGAGATGCTGGATGAAATAGAAAGTCAGCCCTGGAGAGCTAGAAGGATTGACATGGCTTGGGTCCCAACCAATGACATGCCACTAGATACTGCCGTAGCCCTGTCGCGCATATGCAGACCAATACACACTCCTAGAGACAATTTCTGTTGACCGCTATGATCTAGAACCCGCCTGGTTCACCTGTATCTCACATCCATGCTGCATATATAATTCCCTCTAGTTCCACAGCTCTAATATCAGAGATCTTTCACGCTATTCCTTCTATTATACATTGTTTCTACTCGTTTGTATCTGTCGTGGGTCATGTTTGTAATATCACTGCCCTGGTATAGTTAGAGCTTCTTTTCGATCGCTCGTGATCCTACTATTGAAGAAGAAACTCTAGCTATTCCGTGACAGTGGCATTGCAAACGTGGCTGCTCGTGGTAATATATATAATGGGGGTAGAAACAATGTGTATCAGAAAGGATGAGATGGAAGATCTCTGACGTGGCAAGTCGGTACAGCCTGCTCACTAATTGACGAATTGAAATCCTGATGCCAACAACTGAGCTACTGGTGCCATTTGACGGCCAAGTAACCACTAGACAGATCTACGAACATCAAGAAAATGTCGGATCAACAGGTTACATAGAGACCGCTGAAGTAACCGTAAAAGCAGCTGAACTTCTGATGAATCATGGGCTAAAGCATATTGATGCAATTGATTAGAACCTATACATCAACCAGCTATTTCGTGGTCATTGAATATGGGAAGAGACAGGCAACCGAAACAGGCCCCGGGATTACTATAAGATACTTGCCAACAATTAACAAATGTCGATAGACTCACTAAGTCTCACTCTATTGAATTTGCAAGCAATGCGTCCTTGGGGTGACACAAAGATCACAGCCCCGAGGGCTTTGCAAGTTATATGGTGGACCAATTGACTAAAGGTTCCAAAATGGAAAAAAGACACTTCGACTATCAAAGACAAATTACTTGCCCAATTGGAAAGATTGAAAAGCCTTCAACAAAAAGTATAGGTAAGCCTAACCCTAAAATCTAGGATTTACCAGGTTCGGAATAGAGGCTTCCTGGGATACTATACTGTGTTATCTGGAGCTGTGGCTCATGATACATATTTTAGAGCCCGTTTTCAACAAATCAGGTTGTGTAGTGTAATGGCTATCACTCTGGTTTCTGATACCAGCAATCCCGGTTCGATCCCGGGCACGACCTCTTCTTTTTTATTTTTTTTTTCGTATTTTTCCCATTTTATATGGACATCTTAACCGAGGCCCAATCAGCTCTAGCGTGGAAAAAAGACCAACACATAAATACGGCCGGGTCTCCCGCGTCTTTACTCTTTTTCTTTTTCTTTTCTATCAACTTCACGGGGCTCCACTTTGTGGCTTGCTGAGGCTTATCCGATGGCTTCGGCCTTTATGGGTTTTCTTCCGTTCCCGGCCCTGGAGAGTATAGAAAGGCGTTCCTCTTTATACAACACGTTTTAGCTATGCTAGGGTATCTTTCGGGATACCCTATGGGCGCTAGCTGTGGAGAGGACGTCACATACCTTTTTCAATCACCTTATGTGATTTAGTAATTTGAATATAATGTTACTTCATATAATCATCACGATCTTTCAGACATTCGTAAATTAATAATTATAGGCAGCGTCCATGTAGGGATTACAACTGATTATACCTGAAATTCAGTGCACATAAAGCGCACTATTTGGTGAACAGTTCAAAGTTATGAATGGTTTAATTTAAGCCACATTAAAGTCTCTTTGTAAAAGTGGTACATAAAGCAATCAAGGCTGCATAAGTGGCCAATTCTTGTAATCTGTCTTGAAAACACTGACATAAATTGAAGACCGTAGACAATGGGAATAAACAATGGGAATCTCATGTACAAGCTCAGTATGTACTATGCTATAAAAAAAAAAAACACCGGACCAAAGTCCTATGCCAGTCAAGGATATCTTGAAAGAAGTAAAAAAAGAAAAGGCTGATGATGCACAATGCTGCATGGGACATCGACAAATCTGGAATAGAAGCGTCAGGAGAAGCAGAAAACGCCAATGTCCATAAATTCATTCCCCGAATACGGTATACCGGCTCTCCCATAGCACACCAAACACCGACAAAACCAACACGACATAATCCCATGGCCGACAAAATCAAATGCAACGGAAGAAAATAATCCCAACACGTAGTCGAAAGTCACCGGGTATCTTAAGCCACAGACACACGTGCATTGAAAGAGTAAGGTTGACCTCGAGTGAAATCAGAGCACACCACCTGGAAGATTGATTTGTCCTTGTCGGCCGCCATCGAAGCCAGCACTGTTAGGTGCTGATGCACCAGGCCCCGGAGTACCTGAAGGGTTGTCCATGTGGATCTTCCGCAACATGAACATTGGCTTTCGTCCTTCCTTTTCTAGCTGCTTGAACAAGAGAAGGGGCTTCTCCTGTAATTCCAGGCAACGCTCTTGATCTCCATAAACGATATAAAGCGCGTAGTTCTTCCAGTCAGAATTGATGTTGTATTTCTTAAGAGCAGCTGGTAGGACCTTGTAGCAGGGGTCTTCCCAAGAGACTCGGAATGACTTGAAGATCTCCACGCTATTTGGATTCTCGCCGCCGCCTCCGCCTCCACCGCCCCGTGAGTCAGACCTATCGAGTCGTGGGTCAAGACGTGACGCAGTGGATGGTGTCTCGGCGCGGGACGATGGAAGCTGACTCGGGGTGAGTCGGTCTCCTCTAGAATGTATTGTCGGGGTCTGTTCGGAATAGTCATAGGCTGTGTTGCGGTTCGCGCTAGAGAGTGGTTGGGTATATGATCGTGGATTGAGGGTCTGGGGATGACCGTGGTGGTGGTGAGGGGATGTCGGCGAAGGAATTCCAGGTGATAGTTGTGATCCTCCATTCATTGAGGCCGTCAAATGGGATGAGGCAGCCAAGGCAGCGGCTGACGGATTAAGGTTGTCGTGATGAGAGCGTGCATCATAGCTCGTAGGTGGAGGGTGGGTTGGCGAATTGTTTTTGGGTGTGTTACCATTAGGATGAATGCGCTTGGAGAAAGCCCGCGCAATTTTCGACCCAGAAGAAAGTTCGACTGTGGGTTGAGGAGTTGATGTGAGAGTAGCCGTGCTGTCGTGCCAGTTTTCTGAAGATTGCCCACCAGAAGAGGGCGGAGGCAATGGGTGTGACCGATCTTTTACTATTTTGATCACTGGTAGAATTTCTTCGCGCAATCGCCGGTAATCGTCTGTGATTCGGCGCAGCTCCGTTTCAACCAACATGAGCTTTTCGTCTCGAACTTGGATCGATTTGATTAAACGTGCGAGATCTTCTTGTGTCGCAGTTTCATTCATACTCTGGTCCGCCGCTGCAAGCATGGGTTAGAAGTGAGGTTTTATCGGGAGGTCTGAGAACATACAAAGTGGAATATAATGGTCTGCATCGAGGGGAACATCTTGCTTGACTTTGATTTCATACACGCTTTTCAAAATCGTCAGTCGATGCCCCACACTGTTGATGCCCATCTCCTTCAACTCCTCATGCTTCAGGGCAATCAAAGCTTCACCGACAATTGCATTTTCTGGGTGATAGATTATGGTTAGTAAAGAGCGCGACTAAATATGCCCGAACAACTCTGCTTACCTCGGAATGTACCGTGATATTGAAGCAATCCAAGCGATGTCAAAAATTCCTTGCATTCATCGACTCCCCAGTCCGTGATGAGTGTTCGCGGTGAGCGAGGACCATCGATCGGATGTCCGAATTTGGTCGGGGTGTGTTCTGATGAATGAATATCGGAGTCCGTAGGAGAAGATTCCGAGTCGATGTGAAGGTGCGGCGAAGTTATCACACTGCGCTCATATTCATCGTCCGCATCTGAATCGGCGTGGTAGGAGGTATGGAGAGACATGGCGGAGGATCTTTGGCGGCAAGACAATGTTCACCGAAAGTAGAGATGAATGGTATGAGGGGTTCACAGGCGCCACCGCCAGATTGAAGGTACTAGGTCCAGCAAAGACAAACGAAATGAGTATCGGAGGTAATGCGCCGAATGCTCTATTTTATCAAGCGCGGGTAGAACGAGGGGACGTCAAGACTCGAAGGTTTCAAGGTGAACATGGACGGATTCGTGATATCTTCAAGCAGATGGGGTGTTGTACTGTGTCTCTCGTGTTTTGGACCAAATATGTTCTCGATAGTCCTTTCCGAGGAGGGATGTTGTTGAGTGCGAAGACGCGGCAATCAACAAGAGCAAAGCGGGGAAGGTTGGCGGTTCAGGGCCACGGCGGGATAGGGGCGTTGGAAGAAAGTAAGACCGGTCAAAGCGAGTGATACGTCTCTGTTCACTGAAGCCAAACGTAAACTGACGTCTGGGAGCAATCTTAAAGCAAAGATCAAGATTAGGCGAAGAGGACGCTGGTCTGATGAGAATGGGGTTCACGTGACTGGGTCTGGACTCATAACGGTGGAACCTGTCGAAGTATATCCAACTACGTCAACTTTGTCTTTTCTCTTTTTCCTAAATATGTTTTCCGTCGAGTTTGAAAATTGTGTCTAAGCAGGATATATTTCTACAGACTCAATATCTATGGGGATGATTGAATTGAACTTCTTCCCCACCTCACCTTCATCAAAATGATGCCAAGCACCTACAAACTTGGAGCCAATCATTATGGCTTAGCAGCTCCCTCCGCAGTCCTCCCTTTACTCCAACCAGGCACCCATTGATCTTCAATAATGCTAAGCTGAGCTTTTTGGGTGCGCTTAAAATACCCATCTTCGATGTGGTCCTCCATTCCAACATCCTTGAAACCCTCCTTGGAAACTGATTTGGGCGTGATCATCAGTGAGTGGCCTGTGATCGGGTATATCAGTTAGTATGAATTCATAATCCAAATGATGGGGAGTATTTACCATTGATTGTCCTATCGGTTGCAAGCTTCATCATGCACATTGCAACATCTTCTGGGGGCGCAAACTCGACACCTTTGGCCATGAGCTCGGCCTCATAAGCGGCGGATCGAATGGCACTTTTGATATAGCTATGCGCTGTTAGTGAGTGATCTTGAATTACCAAAGGAAAAATGCGTACCATGGAGCAACGTAGTTAATTCGAATACCCTGCTCGTGGGAGTTCCGACGGGCTGTTCGCATCAGACCTCTCAGCCCATATTTACTGCTGGTGTATTGCCAGTTGGCCTTGTGCGAGCAAGTATTAGCCTTCTATGATCCATACTTGTTGGCCCAATATGAAACTCACTGGCGAATCAATCCATGAAACCATACTGCCGGTGATAATAAAACAACGGTCCCGGTCTTCGGTATCGGGTTGCTTGCGGAAATAGTGGATGGCCAATTTCCATGTATACATTGTGCCAATCAAATTGACATTGACGATGTTGAGTTCCGGCTTGACAGGAGGCTCATTTATATCTATCAAAATGGGTCAGAAACGAGTTACTACTCCTGGAGTTATGGCATAGCATTGATATCTCACCATCCAAAGGCCACAGGTCGTCACCAGAGGCACGACTGATGCCAGCGTTGGCTATGACAATATCACAACTTTTTTGAGGAGAGTTGGCAATTGCCGCCTCATACATTTGTACTTGGTCATCCCAAGAAGTGATATTGCATTTCACGAACTGGGCATTGCTGCACAGGAGGAAAATATCAATATCCGGACAAAGAAATGGTTCTCAAGAATTGGTGAACGTACGGACTCAGCTCCTTGGCTATCTCCTGGCCTCGGATTTCGTCCAGATCCGCAATAGTAACAAATGCCCTATAATGAGCAGGCAATGTCAGTGGGGATAGTTTTGAATTTTCTCCCACACTACATACCCTTCTGCTGCAAAGGCGCGCACTGTGGCCTCGCCCATGCCATTGGCACCTATGACCGAGGTTAGAGAAATGATTAAAAATTTAAGGATACACTACACATACCACCGGTGATAATAACACTTTTACCCTTCAATACTGCCCGATTTGGTGGAATGGTGCAATCCACGGGGCCGGTGTACTCATATCGAGGTAGTTGGGGCATATTGATATCGATATTTGACCTCTAAAGATTTGTTTCTTGCTAGATGCGCAGAATGAGAACTGTCATATATTAATTTCGGACACACCATCCCCAAGTCTACGTCTTTTATCTCCAGTGTCGGGCTAATGTCCGTGGGGGTTTGCCCGGCACCCCCCGCGTTTCAACCGAAGAGCTTGATTCGGCTATCCGAAAAAAGTAAACCGACGAGAAATAATCCATGCCAGATGCTTTTTCACGAGGGCATCCGATCTGTGGAGATTAAATCATATAGACCTTGTGGGGCCTGGGGTACCTACTGCGTCATCGAGTTATGGAAGAGGCGGAGCTCCAGGTACGGGGAATGCAGTGTTTCGAAAAAGGGGATATTCAGAACCCCAGTGTGAATTGGTAGTCTATTCAAATGCAAGAGCGCCCGTAGACTTCGTATGTAAACCCATGAAATTTGATACCAGGCCGAAACAATCTGTACTCCTTAGAAAGAACCCGCCATGCATGATCGCATTTTGAAATGCTGCTTCCCAGCGCCCGGTGTCTGTCATTATTTCTTGTCGCCGTTAGGCGCGCTCGCCTTCCAAGTCGGCCACTTCTCGTATGATATCCTTCAATCCGCGAACGCCCTCGTCGACCACCGTCTCCGGAATGCGGATATCGATTTCTTCAATGTACTTCAGAGGGTCGTAAGGATGATCTTTGGCTTTGCCTTTTTTGATACCGTTGGTCTCTTTTGTTCCATTTGTATTTTCACCATTCGCGATCTTGGCCCCTAGTGCGGGGTGGGTTCGGCCCTCTGCTGAAGCGAGCACTGCTGCCATTACATCGTCGAAGGTCTCACAGCGGCCGGCGCGGAGGAGTTCTGTGGCGAGGGTGGTGACTTTGTCGGTCCAGCCCAAGCGGTGGAGGGAGCTGAGGAGGTTTTCCTGCAGATCTTCGAGTGCGCAGCTGGCGGATATCTTGACGAGGAGGTCGGATTCGAGGGCGTCGGGGGTGGAGGAAGCCCCGTTGGTGGAGGCGGAGGCGGAGGGGGCATTGCGGAGGGTAGGGTTCGGGTTTCGCACAACGCTTGAGCAAGATGTAAAGGCACGATATGAGCTTTTATGACAGAAGCTCTAGTTCTCGCGCACAAGAAAAGAGGTAACGCTTTGCGCAAAAGCGATGGTCGGAGAGGGCCCGCCCTTGATTTCAATGCGGGGTCGAAAGCGGATTAGAATTACATTGCATGTAGTGAACAATAAACATGCATAATGACCAGACAATTGAAGAATAGAAAATATGAAATAGGAGAGTAGATGAATAAGAAGACTCGCATTGACGACCAGATCGGACAATCGGCATTGTGGGTCCGAGCGGTGAATCGGCTCGCCTCTTTATTGATGCTCCTTGATTCTATTGAATTGATCTGATTTCCTCATACTCCTACTCTTCTCGTCTGATACAAAAGTATTCCCAATTTGGCTTTGCTAGGGTAACTATGACTATGTCCTAGTTGATATCCAGGAAGAGGATCCTGATATTCACTGACAGACCCAAAATTATTTATGCATCTTCAGCCTACAACTTAGTCTCCTATTTGGATTTGATCTCAAATGGACCAGGCGCAGGACTTGTTAGTGCCCAGGCAATGCCGTCGCTCATTACCTCGTCCCACCTCTTGCTGTCGGGCAGGTCCTTGTACCTCCTAAATCCATGAGGCACACCGGGGAAGACATGAACATTGGTGGGAATGCTGATGAAATATTTAGCTCTTGAACATCCCAGTTTTGAAGAATATGACAAACTCACCCATTCGCAGCAAGATGCTGTCCATAGAACAGACCCTCATCTCTCAATGGGTCATTTCCTGCGATTCCAAATGTAGTAGGAGGCAAGTCCTTGACCTCTTCCGCGGTGGCATTTCCGGGACTCATCCGTCGATCTCCAGCAGCATCTTTGGTATCGACAAGCCCAAGAAGTTCGGTGAACAATTGCATTCGAGTTACCGGCAAGACAGGCGCATTGGCACATTGCACATAGCTCGACAAATCAGGACTCTTGAGCATCTCCAGTCTCGGCGCATAGTGGTCCCATTGCACAACACAAGGAATCATGAGGACCTGTCCTGCAATTTTTGGGCAGGCCGCTAAGCGCTTATCTTCGCCGCGCAGCTGGGCCAGCGCTAATGACGCAGTCAACCATGCGCCAGCTGAAATACCACCCACAACAACCTGCTCGCTGATTCCGCCAATTTCGGAAATGTTCTCGTGCAGCCAGATGAATGCGTCTTCAACGTCGTTCCAAGCAGTGGGGTAGGGATATTCGGGGGTGTGTCGGTAGTTGATATTCAAGACCACGAATGGCGTACCCTTTTGGACACGCGAGGTGACAATCCGCGAGCAAATGGCGTCTTCAGAAGAAAGTGTTCCGAAAAGAAAACCTCCGCCGTGAAGATGGATGTAAACGGGCAGGCGCTCGGAGATTGGGATGCTGGCGGGGCGGTAGGTGCGTGCTTCGAGGGGCGTGCCGTCACGGGCTGTGATTGTGTGGTCGTGCAGCTGAACTCCGACACCGAGGCCGTCGATCATATCTTGAGCAGCAGTTGCCTCGCGGCCCTTGTTTAATAATGCCTTCAACTGTCCCACCGAGAGGTCCTTAGGGAGCTCAGGCAGCGTTGGCTCAAGGGCGACCCATTCGGCGCTGGGCGTACCATATTCAGTGAAGTCAGCCATTATTGTAGTGGCTAAAGGTAATTATTCTATTGCTAGAAGGAGAACAAGAAGAATAAGAAAGAAGTACAAAGAACGTCTTCGGGATTTAATGAACCCCGCTAAGTAAAAAGGTCGAGCCACTCATGGAGGGGTACTCAATGCACATGTGTACAATGTATGAAGTACATAGTCAATGCACATGTGTACAGCGTATGAAATACATAGCCAACTGAGAAACAGATCGCCAGCTCTACCCCACACATCACCTCGGCTCGGCTCCCGGTAACAGAATATCTCATTCGGTAAACCCCGCATGAAGATGGACTATTTAGGTATGCCGTGGACGAGAAAATATGCCGGTATAAGGGTAGATAGTATGCGCATCTGTGTACTTTTTAGATATAGTCAGTAATCTCAATTGAAACCAAATCACCAAACCGAAAACCATGGAGTCCGGCATTCCATCCGATCCCCCTTCACGTTCTTTAACTGGCAAAGTCGCCATCGTAACAGGTGCAGGCTGCCTGGGTGATGGAATCGGAAATGGACGCGCGATTTCAATCCTTCTCGCCAATGATGGCTGCGACGTAATCTGTGTCGACCTCAACTTGGAGTGGGCCAACAAGACTGTTGAAATCGTGAACTCGAAACCCGGTCGTGGACGAGCGCTTGCGATTCGTGCAGATGTCACATCTGAAGAAGACTGCCAAGCGGCGGTGCGCTTTACAGTTGAAAAGTTTGGACGACTGGATATTTTAGTCAACAATGTTGGAATTGGAGGTGCGGCCGGCACTGCGGTGGAAGTTGATATGGTGCAGTGGGCTAAGAGTATGGAGATCAATGTTGCCAGTATGGTCCAAATGGCCAAATATGCCATCCCAGAGATGAGCCGAAATGACGACGAAATCAAAGGAAGCATTGTGAACATGGGAAGTGTTGCTGGGTTGAAGGGCGGTACGCCTCATCTGCTTTACCCAACTGCCAAGGGTGCCATTGTCAACATGACCCGTGCTATGGCGGCCCATCACTCTCCCGATGGGATTCGTGTAAACTGTGTCTGTCCAGGGGTATGTTCATCACTTTCGTTGTATGGAACCAAGCTGATGATACTAGATGCTGTATACGCCAATGATGTATGGGAAGGGCATGAGTGAAGAGGCGCGTGAAGCCCGCCGGAAACGAAGCTTATTGGGGACCGAAGGAAATGGATGGGACTGTGCTGGAGCTGTTGTATTCCTTGCTGGACCTCATGCTCGGTGGATGACTGGTGTTATTCTACCAGTTGATGCGGGGACAACAGCTGCTGTGGGAATTGGTATGACGAAGAGCGCAAGTGTCAATGCCTAAAATTGCTTAAATTTGGAACTTTTCTCCTTTATAGATCCACATATCAGTTTTTTTTTCCTACCATGTCTTTCTATCCCCGGCTATACATAGAAAAGCTCTCTGTACGGTGAAGGCTTTTTGACGCTTTCGTATAACTATCAAAGAGTGATAATCCCGACATGTCTCCTCAGTGCTATTGTTCCTAATATTGTTCTAGCTACCACGCCCCGAAGAGATATAATCTAAAAAGAAAACATACAACATAGTTATAAAAGACGTATGAAAAGAGCACCGGAGTATTTTATTACATATAACATCCTTTATAACCATCTTGAGCCAGATAAACCAAATTATTCGATCTCCTATGTCGTTAAGAACAGAGGCCGCATAAGCGGCTGATTACTCTTGTTCATCCTAAACCCAAATCCTCAACGTTCAAAAAATTCAAAGATACAAATGAATTAAATTTCTCTTAATGAACTCATACAAGATCTGACACTAATGCAATCCGATCCTTAATCTTGCCCTCTCCCAGTTCTTTGAGAACTCTCGGGAAATCCTGTAACTTGCCCAATTCCACCTGAGGCTGAATGACTCCCTTTGCAATCAAGTCAAGGACCTCTACTAGATCTCGGTACTGACCACCATATGTGAAGATAATGCTTAACCTCTTCCGAATTCCGATCTTCATGTCAAATTCATTGACGAGATTGAGGGTGCCAACACACAGGATCTTACCACCAGGACGCACTGTTCAAGAAGGATATAGTGTTAGCAAAATATAGCTAAAAGGAAAGCCCAAAAGAACACCCAGAGAGGATATTTACCAATCTGTTGCGCATCCTGGCAAGTCTGATGACTGCCCACAAATTCCAGTACCGTATCAATCTTCCCCTGTAACCCACTTTCCTTGACAAAATCTTGCACCGACTTCCCAACTGGAACGATATCCTCTGATGGAACACCCAATTTCAGAGCAGCATCCAGCTTTTCTTGCCGCAGATCGGAAACAATGACCCTAGCACCGATAGAGCGCACAATCTGAAGCGCATTGAAGCCAAGCCCACCAAGGCCAAAAAGGAAAGTAGTTTCTTCTTTCTTGACCTCAGCGCGGCGGGTAATACCATGATAAGCTGTAGTGACAGCATCAGTAGCAACTGCAGCAACGGCTGGATCGACACCTATAACCGGAATTAGGTTTAGGCACTTGATGGTTTCATGGCGAGAAGCTTACCGTTAGGCAATGGGATCGCGGACCGAACATCGACCGCAACATACTCAGCATAGAAGCCGTCTTGACCAATCCCATGGTGCATTCCAGCCGGACATAGTTGTGCCAGATCCCTCGAGCATTCAGAACATGTGTCTAAGCCACATCCAGGGACAGAAAGGAGAGCCACTCGGTCTCCCTGGATTTCTGAATTAGTGCTATTTCAATATTTGCGAGCGATACTCCTACCAATTTGAATCTTTTATCTGTGACTCCTTCTCCTATCTGTATGATCTCTCCACATCCTTCATGGCCCTGGGAGAGAGGTTAACTTTGCTCTTGAATATATTGGGTCCACGAAGAGATTTTCATACAAGCGTATACTTCTCATTGAACTGAGGCCGGTCTTCAATGTCCAAAAGAGGTTGATCGCTGTGACACACTGTCATGAACAGGAAATATCAGAAAAGAAGGACTTGAAATTCTGAGTAGTATTTGAACTGGGTGGTACCTCCGGATGCCAGTAGCTTGACCAGAAACCCCGTGGCAGGAGTCGAGGGCATAGGAAGCTCTTCCCAAACCTAAGATAGAGTCAAAAACTTATTCTGTCAGATATAACGGCTACCATACTGGATTTGGGTTTCCTTTATGCTTTCTCCAGGCATGCATTGTGGATGGTATTTCTGTCATGCCCATTATTTCAGAATTGGTTACTGTAATTGGCGAAGAGATAATTGTTCAAAGAGAACCACGAATGTATTTGTAAATGAGGATAGATACCTGACTACTTATGCATGATATATCAGTCGAAGATCGAAAAGTGGCGTACAGAGACTACGTCCCAGAAAGGACAGCCGATGCCGGCCGGCCTGGCTTCCCCGCATGTTCACCATGTCAATGCTATGTCAGGACGGAGTTCAGTCTATTAATGATAGGACGGGGTGGGAATGAAGTAGAAAAGTATATTTTCCCATGCAATTCAGTGCAAAGCCAGCAGCTATATGATTGCCGGTAGATAAACCGTACCTATTCAGCAACAAATGCCCAAGAGATTGAAATAGTAGCAACGATATAAATTGGTCTATCAACACGACGGCGACTCATCGGCGACCTCAACATAGGAAGACAACCTTGGAAGTCACTTCCTTCCTCCATCCCATACTGAGTGTGCTATTTTCTATGAAACGGAACCGATTAGTAGGCTCTCGTGGACTTTGCGTATGACTACAAAGCGGAAAGCTTTATTAGTGTGCGAGATGACAGATTTTCTGTAGTCTTTGTGGTACTCGAGATCCTGAAACTTCTTGCGCTGCTCCTTCAAATCTGCAGGGAACATCGCAGTATGCGTAGATATGTGCAGGGACGTCGCACTGGACACCCGGATATGTGTTGATCAACCATGCACCCCCGACTTCGTTTCGCGCTTCAAATAGTGTGATGAATTGATGTTGGATTTTGTGCGCTATTAGGAGATCTGAGAAGCCTGCTCCGAGAGTTACGTCGCGCATTTTGCATGGTTTATGGCGTAGTCTGTGTTCAGCGGGATGGATGTGCTTGATGAATTTGTGCCATAATCATCGTAGTTGGTGTTGCACTAGTTCCTTCCCTCTTCTGGAATCCGTTGATTCCACTTGCACCTTCCATTTTAGGAAGGCCAGGTACTTCGCTATCTACTGGTGCTGGCACAGAAAGAGTCATTTTGACGGTTGATAGGGTTGAAGAAGCAAGGGTGCGACAGCCGTGATACGCTGATAAACGTCATGTTTCTGACTTTATATCGAATAAAACGGCCGATTGAGAACAATAGCAGAGGTAATATCACGTCCGAATCTGGAAAAGCACTCAGAATTGATGTAATGAAAAATACCGGTCTATAACGCCAAGGAAACGATAAATTACTACCGGTAACAAAATCCAAAGAGCCGAGGGTGTCACGTTTGGGGAGAGATTTTGCGGGGGACAGCTGTCCCCCGCCTTTCGCAATGTGAGGCAGTATTATGGTCGACGGTGTAATTGCAACCTCCAGGCATAATTTCAATCATGTCGGCACCGCTTTGGCTACAATTCACTGGTAATCAAACTAAACGGAAGCGCGCAGAGCTCGCCTGTGTGGCATGTCATAGCAAGAAGGTAAGTTACTTAGTTCTCGGTCTCGGCAAAGAGACTAACGGCTGCAGATTAGATGTGACCTGCAAGCGCGAGGGGCTCAAGGGTATAATAACTGCACCAAGTGCGAATCTGGCGGCAAGGAATGCCGGTGAGTAGCCCTTCCAAGGCTTTTCGGATGTATGGCCTGACCCGGTCACAGAACGAGACCATCAAAACGAGGTCGGCCCGCTGCAAGTGTGGCCCCATTGACACCTCCGGTAACCGAGACCAGTTCATGTGTCCAAATAAATCGTCATGGCTCTATCCCGGATCATCTTGCTGTCAGTCAACCGTCTGGACCGCCTTGTGCCGGGTTAAGAAATGATAGCCGGTCGTTGGACTTCCCCAGAGATCTGCTTCAAAGATCTTCCATCTCCCCGGCACATGTCGAACACGCAAGAACTCAAAGTTTTGACAATATCGGATGGTCGATGAGAGATGATCCATCCCCAGGCCAAGTGCCGACTGATCCCCAGGGCAGGCCTACGCAAGCCATGACCAATGATTCTCCCGCCACTCAGCGAACAGAAGACCACTCAGAGCATAATGATAGCTACCCAATTGGTCATGTCTTCCTACCAGAGTTACAAACAGATGCTCGAGCTCAGGAGCGGCTCATTGCTGAAAGAATGCCCGAGGTACCCAATCTACCTGACCCAGACCTACAACAAACATTCGCAGAAACATACTGGGAGTACTGTTACACATGGTGTCCAGTACTAGACCGAGAGACCCTCTCAGAAGAGCTCACTCGATCTCCGCTACTCGTGAATGCCCTGGCAGTGGTTGGTAGCCATATCAAACCACCCATGATTCCACATGATGGTCCTGCCGGCTACTACGAGCGAGCTCGCACCAGATTCTACAACGATGAAGAGGCAGATGTCATGACCTCGTTGAAAGCTATTTCTCTATTTTATTGGTGGAGCCCGCGGCCACCAACTATCCTCCATCGCCATTCTTCTTGGTGGTGGACTTCGGTGGTCATCCGACATTGCCAACAACTAGGTGTACACAGGGAACCAGGGCCAAACCATCCACTGCGTCAGCAGATCAATCTCAGTCTCCGACGTCGAATATGGTGGACGGCATTTGCGCGTGAGCGACTGACTGCTTTGTGTCAAAGCAAGCCATGTGTCATCGACCCTGAAGACTGTACCCTGTCAGAACCCACATTGGAAGATTTCTCCCAAGACACGGATAAAACCAAAGCTGAAGTCTTCATCTATTGGGTCCGTCTATGCGCTATCATTGGCAAAGTCGCAAAATACCTCGCTCGTTCCAGCGACACTGGATCTTCCGCATTCCCAGCATCGCTGGCCCGCGATCTCATCGGCTGGGTCCAGTCACTCCCTCCCCATCTGCAGCTACCGATTGGATCAGATCGCACAACTCATTTCAATAGAGATGTTCATCAACTTCATCTTCCATATCTGGCCGTCATTATCATAATCCACCTTCAGCGGTCCTCCCCCTCCCAGCCTCTCCCACAAGCATATCCACCAGCAATACTCGCCGCGTCATGCATGGCTCGCATCATGCGGGATATTCTATCTCGCGGGGGAACCCGATTCCTCATGGCCATAACAGGCTGGTATTGCGGTACAGCATTCATTGCGCTGCTACAGGCTCTTCGAATCGAAGGTCTGGCCAAGAGTGCCAATGAAGATCTAGATATCTTGACTCTAGCCGTGGATCAGCTGCGCACCATGTGGCCCACCGCCGCAGTATTCCACTCGGGCTTTGGTCGTCTGCGGCCTAGTGCTACCGCGCCGGACTCTGACTCCCAACGAGCGCCTGGTCCAGAGCTCGGTATGGGCGACGGAACGGTGTATATGGAAATGGCAGATGGTATTGATTGGACTGCCTACTTCCCATTCGCGACTACTGAAACTAGTGGCATTGCTGGTAGACTGCTGGTTCCACATACCGAGGAGCTTTTCTTTGATGATGATGCCTTTGCGGATGCTATGCTTCAGTTTCAGGATTTATTTGAGCCTTGTGATACCCTTACCGAGATGAATCTTTTTATGTAATTATGTTAGAGATGCTGAAAGTGTCAAGATAATGCACTGGTTGTTTAACTCGTCCATGGGGTAATACCCGGGATTCGAAGCTCTCTCTACGTTTTCCTAGATTGCCGATGCGGTCTTTATACAAATGAGTGACACGGCAGGCTTTCCTCATCCGTAGGGGGCAATAGATAGCTGCATCATCTATTTACTGGGGTCGTATTCTGTAAAACTGAAAGTATTCCCTGATGCTTTAGAAACATATCATTTAAGTATCAAATCCTGATAATCTCTCGTGACAACCTCCTCCGCACGCTTTCGATATCCAGGCGCGGGACCCTGATATCGCGCAATGATTCTCTTCTGCTTGTGCGCCAAATTCTTATTAACACCAGTCATCCAAGAATCAACATCGTTGGCAAGCAATCCCACCGCGCAAGTATGAACATGCTCTGTCCAATCCAACACACTCTGCTGCGTAGCCCCGGCAAATGTGATACTCCGATCTCGACAGAACTCAATAAACCGTGCCACCCAGCTCGCAGCATACTCGACACTGCGAGGGATATTCCCAAACATCTGATGCGGCCCCATGACCATCATCATATTGGGGAAGCTTTCAACAAACAAACCTAAAAACGTGCGTGGACCCTCACTCCACTTATCCTTCAGCTTAATCCCATCCACACCGCGGAAATCAATCGCCGTAAAAGACCCAGTCACTGCATCGAACCCGGTGGCATAAACAATCATATCAAACTCAAAGGCCTCATCCTTCGTCTTAATCCCAGACTCGGTAACACATTCAATGGGATTTGATTTAACATCCACCAAACGCACATTGGGCTGATTAAACGCCTCGAAATACCGCGTTTCCATAGGCACGCGTTTCGTCCCGAACCCATGACATTTCGGAATAAGAATCTCCGCCGTGATAGGATCGTGCACGCGCTCACGAATCTTATTCGCAATGAACTCGCTGAACAGAGCATTCGCTTCTTTGCTCGTATTGATATCGCCGAAATTGCTCATCCACTTCGCGAACCCGCGTTGCGCATACAGTTCCTCCCAGAATACCTCGCGGTCTTCGGGGCTCAGATCGAATGTGCTTCGTTTGTCGGGTACGTGCATGAAGCAGTGCCAGGATTCTGCGCATTTGCGGAAGATCTCTGGGTAGCGGGTTCGGATTTCGTTCATTTCTTCCGGGGTGATGGGTGCGTTTCGGAGAGGTAGACTCCAGTTTGGGGTTCGCTGAAAGACAGTCAGATGGCCTACTGTCTTGGAGACTTCTTGGATTACTTGAATGGCGGTTGCTCCGGTGCCGATGACTGCGACGCGTTTGTTTGTGAAGTCGACTTGATCTGCGGGCCAGCGGGCTGTGTGGAAGGCTTCGCCTTTGTAGTCCAGGACACCGGGGATATTGGGTAGGGTGTAGTTGTTCAAAATTCCAATGCAAGTAACGACGAAGCGGGAGGTGTATTGCTGTCCTTTTTCGTCTGTGACGAGCCATGACTTGGTGTCGTCTTGGAAATGTGCTGCCGTGACGCGCGTTTCGAATTGCATGTCTCGACGGAGATCGAATTTATCGCACACGAACTCGCAGTACCGTAATGTTTCGGGCTGCGAGGCAAAATGCTCTGACCAGTTCCACTCATCGAGGACTTCTTGGGAAAATGAGAAATTGTATGAATAGCTTTCAGAGTCGAATCGTGCGCCTGGGTATCGATTCCAGTACCATGTTCCGCCTACACCTCCGCCGGCCTCCAAGACTTTCGTCCGTAGGCCTAATTGTCGCATTCGATATAGAGAGTAAATGCCGGAAAGACCGCCGCCAATGATAAGAACATCGTAGTCGAGGTCTTTGTTCTTCTGGCAGAAGTTTGGTTCTTGGATGCTACCCATGATTATGATTTAACTGTTCGGAGTCAAAATGGATGCAATATTTACTTGGGGGATTATGTTCTAGCTATCAATATATGGTTATCAGTATGAATAACCCTTCGGCCGATAATCTTATGCCGGAAGTATCCCGCGATGGTCGATTTGTGGGGGGAGACCCACATCAATACAGCCGGTATGCGCTTGTATGAAGCTGAGATCGGGATGTCTTTATTGTCTTTCCTCTTTAGTGCTAAGGCCTTGCCGCTTTTTGCTAAGAACTGAGCCTCCCTATTTCTAACCCCAGATTGGTGGCGGTCCAATGAGATAAACTAATAATAAGATGGAAATAGAACGTCACGAAGTTTCATAGACATAGTGGGAAATATGGTAGAATATCATGGCACGAGCTTGTTCAGGACACCTTTCCTACTTGAGCAGGCTGAAATGATTTATGGAGCTGGGGTGCCTAGGTATTAGGAGATGCGCGTGATGAGTAGAAAGTGCCAATAGTGTCTAATGAAGATCCTACCTCTTTCAATGTCTAGCAAAAAGCTATTCCCAATAGATCAAGCACTTGCTTTTTCTTATGTCCGACTTTCAAGGTTTACGGCTAATTGACCTTTTATAATCTTAATAGCTTTGATTTCCGACCGGAGTAGGCAGCCGTCTCTAATAACCTTAGTGTATATAAGGCATTTAATATATAGCAACGGAGGGATTAAGCCCTCGGTCAGATAAAGCTATAATACGAGATAATAGATGTTTATATTACAGATAGTATCTAGGATAAGACTGAGTTTTTCACGATAGATCTTACGAGTCTTGATTTGCGTCTCGACGTCGGAGAGCGAGACTTTTGAGGAAGATATTTTAAGAGTTTCGCCCAGAAAACAAAGGGCAGCGAGAAGAACTTAAGGTTTACTTAATTTCACGGAGATGGTGATGTTGCTCAAGGCACCAATCACCAACATTATACCTGACGTCTCTCTGACCTCCTTCTATTAAAAAAATGTAACCAGCACGGTTTTCGAAGTTAATAGGTGGACGACCCTCAGGTTCCCAATGTTGAACCCCCGTTTTAGTGGGACTGTCAGGTCTACCAATATGGGCGTGGATGGATGTTCTAAATTCGAATCGGAGGTTTGCGAGCTGGAAAAACTATCTAGACTTGAGGCATTTTTTTATTTGACTTTCGATGGGAACATGGATGGGTATATGATCAATATTCCGATTCCCAATTCGGAGACGGTGGATTTTTACATAGCTCTCGATCGTTTCTGACTTCTACTTTTCCTTCATTTCGAAACTTGGATCGAACACAAATTTAAGGATACAATATCACTCTACATCAATCTGTATCAAAGAGCTCACATTCGAGCACCCTTGACCTTACCGAAAAAAAGGTTGTCAATTCACATTTACAACTCCGGGTATTATCAGTCAACCCTTTCAAAATGAACTTTTGGGCGCAAATTCAGGATTCCGCTACCCTCGCTGGAATAAAAGGGCAGTGGGGTGTGAGATATTTGCCTCCACTTCTATCGCAGGACACCAGTCTATTTCGAGACGGATGGGGCACATACTCTGCAAGAGTTGATCAGCTGGAATCTACGCCCTGTAAAGTCAAGCTGTTTCAAGATGGTCGCTTAGTGTCGAATATCTTTGTGCCCGGGACTGATCTCGAAATGGGTAACGGTTTGCTGACCCCAGGTTATTGTGTGCATATCACTGGCAGTGTAGAGGACGATTACTCGGTGCCGAATGTTAGTATGTGGTTGAACAATCAAGAGGTGCATGATCTTTCGGTTACCCGTCGCCTCGGGGCAGTGCGTATTGCGCTCCCACTGCTTCGCATTAATTACAAATACTGTGAATACAGTCAAATTTCACTCTTTGATATTTGGTTTACTTTGTTGGGAGCTATGTAAATCAAAAGTTTTGTTACTATCTATTCATGTTGCTTTATCATCAGTTCCGGAAATCATTATGATAAGCCCAAATGGGTAAACTATCCCGATGTCGATTTTCTATTGATTCCAGAGATACAATATCAGACCCCCGGTCCGTAGGTGGTAGGGGCTATTAGGGCTAGCCGATTGTTTTGACCACCCACGATCGCCATCTCGGCCCATACGGAGTAGTGATCACTATATTGTTCTCGGAAGGTTATCGGAAAAGGATAATATCGTACCCAAGGCCTGAGGCTGTACAATGATGAAATGCGGTGGTTTATCGGACAAGTCCTTACTCGGTTCGGGATCAGCCACGCCGATCTATGCCGATCTATGCTGATCGCCAATCAACTCAATGTAACTCTGTGTTTGAAACAAATTAGTGAATAGCAGCTCATTCGTTCAAAGAATAACCAATGACCCAATTCCCGCGGAGTCCGTCTGCATATTTGTCTGTCCTGATTTCCAATTCACAGCCTGGGGTCTAATGCAGCTATTGAACAATATATAAAGACGCTTAGGATGCCCAGAAGATCGTAACTATCACAAAATCATCCATCATGTTGACATTCAAGCTTTTGACCGCCTTGTTGGCACCAGGTGTGCTATCAGCTGCTTTGCACCCTCGCCAGGAGGCTGATCTCGATGCATTTATCAAGTCGGAGTCTACTCTTGCTCTTAAATCCATCCTGAACAACATTGGCTCCGATGGGTCTGCTGTTTCTGGAGCAGGTGCTGGCATTGTGATTGCATCACCATCTAAATCGGACCCCGATTGTGAGTTCCCATCCTACCAAATTGAAAGAACAGAAACTAATAGCTGCTAGATTTTTATACCTGGACTCGTGATGCAGCCTTAACATTGAAGGTCTTGATTGATGATTTCCTTGCTGGAGAAACCTCCTTGGAATCTACCATCCAAGACTACATCACTGCTCAAGCGAAGCTACAGGCCGTGTCTAACCCATCTGGTGATTTGTCCGATGGAACAGGACTTGCAGAGCCCAAGTATCAAGCAGACGCGACTGCCTTCACAGGTGAATGGGGTCGTCCTCAGCGCGATGGGCCCGCCCTGCGAGCGACAGCCATGATTGGATATGGTAACCATTTGATTGCGGATGAAAAAGAGGCTCTTGCCAAGTCGAACATCTGGCCTAGCGTTCAAAATGATCTAAACTACGTTGCGCAGTACTGGAACCAAACCGGATTCGATCTGTGGGAGGAGGTCGAGGGCTCCTCCTTCTTCACCATTGCCGCACAGCACCGCGCATTGGTCGAGGGTAGCGCCTTTGCCAAGGCGCTGGGAGAGTCCTGTGAGGGATGTGATTCTCAGGCACCCCAGATCCTATGCTACCTGCAGTCCTTCTGGAATGGCAAGTCTATCGTTTCCAACGTGGCTGACAATGGCCGATCCGGTCTCGATGCAAACTCCGTGCTTGCTTCGCTCCAATTGTTCGATCCCAAGGCTGCTTGCGATGACACTACCTTCCAACCTTGCTCTGCTAAGGCCCTATCGAACCACAAGGAATACGTCGACTCGTTCCGTTCAATCTATGGCGTGAACAGCGGTATGGAGGCTGGGGCTGCCGCTGCCGTTGGACGTTATGCCGAGGACACTTATATGGGCGGCAACCCATGGTATGCAACCCTTTTGTTTTCATTTAGCTTAGAACTCTGCTGACATTTCCAGGTACTTGACAACACTGGCCGCCGCCGAGCAGTTGTATGACGCTCTTTACCAGTGGAAGCAACAGAAATCGCTATCCATCACCGAGATCAGCCTTGCTTTCTTCAAGGATCTAGATTCATCTGCCGCCGTTGGAGACTACGCCAGCGATTCGGACACTTACACCTCCCTCACTGCGGCGGTCAAGAAATACGCCGATGGATTCATGTCTGTCGTTCAGAAGTACGCACCCGAAGGGGGAGCTCTTGCCGAACAATTCACTCGGGATGACGGTAGTCCGGCCTCTGCTAAAGACTTGACCTGGTCCTACGCGGCGTTTGTGACTGCTGCTGAGCGTCGCGATGGAACAGTGCCCCCTACTTGGGGTGCGTCGGGTTCCAAGGCGGCCGAGACGTGTGAGGGAAGCTCTGCCGAGGGGACCTACGCGGCACCGGAAGCTGTCTCTTGGTAAACATCAAGAGAGAGCTGGTTGTATATACTCAATCTCAATAGATAAGAGTGTGCATATGTGAGAAATATAAATAGAGTGGAATGAGAATCAGCATGTGATGCAATTCCTTCCTTTTTTTCATCGGAAGGAGGACTTTATGATACGCACGAGTACGATCTTAGAGCAATGGTTAGGTTAAAACTCAAGTGTCCACGGGTAACTGACCATAAGCAACCGAAAGCGTTCTCGTTATCGAGGGTTATACCTAGACTTAAAGTACCACCGGGGTTAAACTCGGGTTTAAAGAACCAGCGTGGAGTTGACATAATAATCTCGTTGGTCGAATAACTAAAAGTGGGAAAGTGCACGAACCCTCTTTCCCACCCTTTTCTGCCTGTGCTCTAAAAGCGGCAGCCCAACTAGAACGGGATAGTTCCATAGTACAGAAGAGCTTGAATTGTTTCTGGTTGTACATAGAAAAGTCATCTATATATTGAAGAGTGATAAGCCTAGCATGTTGAATCTGCAAAATTCATTATCCTATTAGCGATAACGAGAACAACAGTCTTAAAGGGACACTTCAAAAGGCACTTCAAAAGAACATCCAAAAAAGACATCATTATAGTATTTTATAACATCCCTTATATTCTTGAGCCAGATGGACAGATAAATTAATTTAATAAAGTCCTACGTCGTTAAGGATAGAGTACACAGAGGCCGCATACACGGCCGAACTATATTTCGATCCGAAAGGTTAACATGCATTCTACATTACATGCAGAATGTCTCTCGGGAATAATGCTTTAAATAGTCTAAATACACGGAGGTGTAAGAAAGGATTCTAGCTGTGAATACACTCACACCCCATTCTCCTTCCAATAGGCCTCCTCTCCCACAAATTTGAATCAAAGAATGATCCACCTTACCCTACTTCGTAGTTGAGTAAGCAATAATAACAAACACACAATTCTCCCAACGGAATACAATTCACCTACAATTTCCCAACCGTCTTTTTAACAAGCGAGATGTCATCAAAAGTGGACACAAGCGGGCCAGATACGCTCTGACCCCGCGACCGCTGAAGCTCGAATGCCCCGCCGGGATAGAAATCTCGCTTCGTCTCGCTTTTTGGGTGACATGGGTGGGGACGGATGGGATCCGACACGGGCGGGTATATTGGGGGTCAAAATATACCCCCGTAATGGCAGTAGTTGCCGAGCTACCTAGTCGGGTCGGACTTACGAGCGGATTCGCGTAAAGAGGAGTCTACATTTACTGGGAAACCTGGTAAAATTGCTTTGAATCTAGGTCTTCCTGTTAAGTTGATAGTGGAAATGTTGGGTCTCCACAGGAACTTCGGTTGTCTCCCCGCGTTTTCCCCGTGGGGTATGGTATTGGTATTGATTTACTGTACCTAGGTAGGTATGTATATATACCGGCTTACCAGATTAACTTTCGGTGTTACTAGACTCTCGGTTATTAACATGGGTTTATTACAATCTTGGAAGTTCAATAGATCTAGATCCATACTCCACTAAAAAAAGAGTGCTATTGCTCGCTTTTTTGGTTTCCCCCACAGGTCCATGGCCCCCTTTCTTCTGGGGTAAAATGGATACCCCACGGAATGAAGCAGATAGCTTTCAGTATTCCTATGGCAATGAATTGATCTGTTTATGAGAATCCACTCCAAGATCACTAACTACATGCTATACAACACGCCTGGCTGATTCAGTGGACTAAAATCATTCGAAAATGACAGGCTCCAACAGACCAGACAATGACGACCTCTCCGTCAGATCGAAGAGCTCGAGCTTCGATCTTCAAGACTTGAAAAAGCTCTCTGCTATCGACACACTACACAATGACGAGGCACTCAAAGTTCTCGCCAACTATAGTGGCGATGACATATGGACAGAAGAAGAAGAGAAAAAGCTTCTCTCCAAAATCGACTGGCGACTGATGCCTATCTTGTGCGTGACATATGGATTGCAATATTATGACAAGGCGATGTTCTCACAAGCTGTACGTTCCCACCCTCATAGCTATATCTACAGCTCTTCTAATATAACCCAGGCCCTGTTTGGCATGCGGACAGATCTAGACCTCGATATCGGGAACCGATATTCATTCTCTGCGGCAATCTTGTACCTCGGGTTCATGGTAGGAGCATATCCGGCCATGATGCTAGCACAGAGATTCCCCGTTGAACGCGTCGCCTCGGTTATCATTACGCTCTGGGGTATCTGTCTCATATTCACACCATTGTGCTCCAACTACAAAGCGCTCTACACACAACGGTTTTTCCTGGGCATGTTAGAGAGCGGTATCAGTCCTATGTTTATGCTTCTCGTTGTGAGTGAGGAATCGAAGAGACGACAGATTATATCAAATTCTAACTGGATTTGTTTATAGGGCGGTTGGTACAAGAAGAACGAACAAGCCATGCGAATGGGGTAAGGCCATCTACTCTCTTCTCTCAGATCCCCATCTAATATCTGCAGAATATGGTACTCCTGCACAGGCTACGTATCCGTCTTCTCCCCGTTACTAAACTACGGACTGGGTCATATAACGGGCACACTATCCCCGTGGAAATACATGTACTTTGTAGCAGGCGCAGTGACCATAATCTGGGGACTACTACTCGTCTTCCTACTCCCACCAGACCCAGTCCGAGCACGCGGGTTTAACGAACGACAACGCTACATCGCCGTAGCTAGACTACGATCGAACAACTCCGGCGTGCGAAACACACACTACAAAGGCGGCCAAGTCACCGAGCTACTAGCAGACATACGCTTCTGGCTAATTTTCATCGTGGCGTTCCTAAGCATGATAGCCAACGGGCCTGTGTCGACATTCACGCCTATCATTATCAACTCGTTTGGGTTTGACACGCTCAATTCGCTGCTGCTGGTCATGCCGCAGGGGTTCCTGGCTGGTAGTTACCAGCTTCTTGGGCCGTATTTGGCATATCGGTATGATGGGAATGGGGTGAGGGCTTGGATTGTCTTTGCTTGTCAGATGATTACTACGCTTGCGGCTTTGTTGCTTGTTGTTCTGCCGCTTGATGCTACCGGTGGTATGCTCTTTGCGTGCTATCTTCTGCCCGCTGTTGGGGGTGGATACGCTGTTCTTATGGGATTGCAAATTGCCAATATTGCTGGCTATACGAAGCGGTCTATTGCTTCGTCCGGGCTTTATATTGGGTATTGCCTGGGTACGTTTAGTCTGGTGTTTAGTCGTGCTAGAGCTGATTTCTGATTAGGCAACTTCACCGGTCCGTTGATGTTCAAGGAAAATGATGCTCCTCGCTATGTGCCGGGATTTATTGTTGTTGTCGTGACCTCCTTCGTTGCCGGTATCACTGTGCTTATCTATCGGTTTGTGTGCGTTTGGGAAAATCGCAAGCGAGACCAGTCTGGGACTGCCGAGGGATATGAAAATGCGTACCAGGACGATTTGACTGATAAAACGGTGAGTATGAGAGTAGTTCTGTTAGCTTGTTGCTTGCTAACTGTCAATGTTCTGATCAGAATCCTCAATTCAGGTATATTTTGTAGACCGGGTTCCGTGTGGTGTCACACTGTTCAAAATCAGCTTTATACGCAAATGTCACAGCCTCTTTTGCACTTACTATATGTATTTTATTTTATTTTATCCATAGATGCGCGACCAAATCGACCCCTGATTGAATCAGGCTGCACTGTCTTCCTAATTCTTCGTTAGAGATTATCCGTGGAGGGATCGTGTTTAAAAGTATGCAAGCCCCAACTATGTAGGAAATAGAAAGACCCAATATACCAAAAAATGCCGAGGCTAACTAGGGGAGGTACAGCCCTCCTCCTACGGCCAGAAGATAAAATAATATTTAGACACAATATAGAGCAAAGAGAACGCAAATAGACTAGCTCAAAAAACACAATAATCACTCCCATCGAAGCAGGGTGCTACGATCAAAGAGCTCTCAAAAGGGTGCCTCGCGGAAGGAAAAGAAGAAGAGGACAGCAGGGATCAAACGCCAGTTATACATTCCAATCCATTCTGCCAAAGAGTATGATTCGCTGAGATGAGAAGAAACGCCATTAAATGCCGGGGAGAGTTCGTGGTATAGTCATTATAGATCACCGTCTGTGTCAGTCGCCACCATGCGCTGTTTCTGCTTATCTTTGCTCTTCATCTTCAGTGCGTCGATTGTATTCTGCACTTCGTGTCTGGCCTCTGTTTCAAGATTGGTGCGTTCATCTGGCTCAAGTGTTTCCTTGTCGCCGACCCGCTCGTATAGCATGCGAGAGATGGACCGGTTGATGTTCGTATATTGCTCTTTCGAGATGGTCTTCTTCTTATAGTGGGGTTTCAATCCAGTGCCCACCATTTTCTGGATGTCGGCTTTGAGGGCGAGGGATGGACCAGACCGAGTGGGGGATGAGTCGGGTGAGCGGGAGGCTCCCATATACAATGCACGTTGGGGGATGCGAGAGCGAGGACGGCCCGGCTGGCGTTGTGGCTTGTCTTCTTTGGCGTCATTTGTCGATGGACTACCCGATATGGACACTTCGGGTGAGAACGGAGGAGATGAGGGTTCGGCGGGGGAGGATAGTTGAAGAGGGGAGATGGGGTGGCTTCGCGGGAAAGGTGGCGGTGTGGCCGCTGATAGGAGAGGGGAAGAATAACGAGATGAGGCGGGGGAGATGGACGGAGAAGAAGGACCAGGGGATGGGTGGTCGGTAGGAGCGACAGATGTCGAAGCTAAAGGTCCATATGAATGACTCGGTGCGTCTTCGACTTCCTTCAATAATGATGACAAGAAGCTTGGTCCGGTGGGATTGTCACCACTTGGTCGGACATTGGAGCTCGCAGCCCTGGATGATTCACCAGTTTGAGTTTGCTGTGCGAGAGCTGCGAGCTCCTGCGGCCTCCTCGTTCGAGGGCGCTTCAACTTGCGTTCTGGTTCTGTGGGCTCGGGGGACGGCGACATGGTCGGCTCTTTGCGCTTCCTAGCTGCGCTCGGGTTGTTTTCGATCTCTCGTGCCCTCTCGAAGGCGTTCCAAGCCCGCATCTCCTCCACGGATTCGGGCTCCGGTGTCGGAACTCTAGGAACCCGAGGTCGCGATGGTCGGGCATGGTCAAGATCGAACAGGGATGCCGTGTCGCGAAACCGACTACCACCACCTTGTCGCTCAGCGACCTCGAAGCGACGTTGCCAAGCTTGAAATTCGCGCTGGTTGGCCTGCTCGCGGCGGCGTTGTTGCATCGCACGTTCGGCAGATCGATCGTCATCGAAAGGAAAATCAAGATCGAGATTCAGATGATCCCAAACAGATTGCCAGACTCGTGCCCAATGGAGAGAATTCGTCTGGGTTCGATTCTGCAGTCGTCTCTGCTGAGCCCTAGTTCGTCGACTCCGCTGCTCGATCGCCCGAGACGGCCGTGCTGATACCTCGGGAGCCGGTCCCAGAGCACGCAACTCCATGCATTGTTGGCAGTACCATGACCCAGAGGGAATCTCGTCCAAACCTAGGCAGTATAGGTGAGAAGGTCCATCGCACCCATCGCATAATAGGAGAACATCCTCGTTGTCGGCTTGCCCGCAAATTGTACAGGGTTGAAAATCGATCAAGTCATCCTCCACATATTCAATAATCATGGAAGGATCAACTTCGGCCACTTGGGTTCGGTCCTGGACAGCGTAGGACGAAGTAACAGTTCCTATAACAAATCAATATAGTCAGTACTTGTAATCAAGAGAGGACGGGACCAATAAGTTAAGGGAAGGGGGAGAGTCACACCTCCGACACTATCACTCAACTCCACCATATTGAAACTGCGCCGACATATTGGACAACTATTTGCCCGTTCAACCCATGGTTTTAAACAATTATTATGTAGGACATGACCACAGGGAAGTAGCTGAGCGATCTGCGAGTCCCCATTGAAGTCGCCATCCTTCAAATCAAGGCTCACAGGTTCAAGAGGATCACCCGCTCCTTCACCAAGGTCTCCTAAACAAACAATACAGGTATCGGACATGGACGAGAGATTTATAAGAGAAGACGAAGTCCATGAAGAGCGCTCAAGAAGTGTAGAAGCGAGAGTGGTGTGGGGAGCGCCTTTTGAAGGTGGGCCGGATTACCGGACTAACGCAAAGCAGGAACGTGACGGAGGCGAATGATGTCCTCAAGGTGGATTTGGGCTATTTCGATTGTATTACAATATTGGAAATATTCAAAAGAATTGATGTATTATATGTTGTAGTTCTTTTTTTATTATGGCAATAGAGTACTATTCCTAAGTATCTGATCTCGTCATAGACATCCTGCAACCATTTAATAAGGTCCTTGTACAACACAAACTACACAAAGTACCTACTAAAAAAGCAAGGTGGTCGGTTTACATTCGAAAATGACTACATTAGGCGCCCATGATTTGGCTGAAACCCGAATTACAGCCCTGGGGCCAGGGTGAACAGTTCGCACCTTAGTCATCGTGTAAGATCTGCGGGCAAATTACCCACGACCAATATCATACCAGGGTATGTATGTATCATGTGGATTTGAGTATGCCAGGCACCCGGTGCAAATGTCCAGGTGCACGTAGAAAGTACGAAGATATAGTCTGGAGCGCAATCGATCCAAGACAGTGCGATACGCTAAGAGGTCCAGGTGACCTCCAAACCATAATCCAAGTCTACGTGACTGTCCGGCACCTGAGCAACCACACAAGACCGATATGCAGCCCATCCATATGATTCACACGGTCGCAGAACATCGAAGTAATCAGGTGGAGGATCTTAGATTGACCGGTGAAATTGTCTATCATGTAGGTATCGACCGAGGCGAACTTTGGGAGACCAGTCACGTCGATATACGTTATACTCGGGGCGAAGCGGATATTGCACAAGAAATTCGTAATCCCGAATTTTTTTCATTCATTTTTGGTATTCAGACGTAACCGTAAAAGAGAAATGAAACCACACAATCCTCCCATTTAGACCTCAGCGATCTCACGCAGACGACGGATGGTGGAGCGGGTGGCAGCGGCAGCGGGGGTGCTGGAGAAAATAGAACTATCAGTAACGTGTTTTCGTTGTGTTGTGAATTGCGACTGTGTGCGCCAACCCAGGTCGATCCCCGGGTCGGATCACATTGTCCTTGCGATAGGTGTGCGACTTACGAGACGACGTAAGCACCGCCGGCAACAGTCTTGTCGCAGCCCTTGCACTCCCAGATACCGACAGCCTTGCGCTTGACGGTGTTCTTTCCGCAGAAAGTGCAGACGTAGCGGGCGTGCTGGGTGACTTCCATCTTCTTCACCTGCTTACGCAGGGAGGCACCGTATCTGTTGGTAAATTGTTAGAATCCGTTGTCGTTGGGTAATCGCTATGAGTCGTGTGTCTCGATCGAAATCACAGTCGTGTGGGCGCGAATTGGGCGAATGTCATACCTGGTACCATATTTACCGGTGATGCCGACCTCTGTGGAAAATAGTTAGCATCGAGCAATTCGGCTGACAGTGTGTTAAATTTGAGAATAGGAACATACTCTTGGTGCGCTTCGTCATCTTGGCTGATGTAGAGGATGAAGATGGGTATTCAACAGGAGACCAAAAAGAACGCTTTGAATGAGGGCGGGTTGTGCTGTGGATTCTCGCTTAGGGCTCTTGGCTTGGTGCGATCACCTGACCCATTTTGAGTTAGTGGGCTTATGTCAGGTGGATGGCCTCAGGTTTCTGATGCTTACTTTGTGTTTCGAAGGTCCACAAGGTCCACCAGATTGAGACGATGACGATGTTAGTGGATGTGATTTGGATTGAATTTGGGGTTTGATTTGATATTCAATTCTTGGGAATACGTATTGAAATTTTTTTTTTTAAGGGAATTTATTGCCTGTTAAATAAGGTGTCTAATTCCTTGTCCAATTCAATATTTCCCTACGGCAAAGATGAATGATCCTGTACAATTATTTTATATTGCCCATCTATCTATTTTAATTCGGCTTGAATTGTGTTCCAGACCGTTTCTCCTTTTCTCGGGCTAATCAATCTATCCGGTCACGTGATCATTCATGCCATTCCATATAAACACCAATTCCCAGATTAAGTTAGTAGAATATTGTGTAACATATTCAGTTACTTCTAGTGTAAAGCTTCAAAAACTCTTTGGCTATTTTACCTGCTCCCATTTTCTACCACCACACGGCATTTTTTAAGCGTGCCGAGGAGCTTGTGATCTTGCCGAAAGCTCCCTTGTTCTACAAAGCTACATCATAGACTCCAAACCTATTGATTCAACCACCATGACTTCCAACAGACAGTACGACCTGATTTTACTGGGTCCGACTGGTTATACTGGCCGACTTTGCGCAGAGCATATTGTGCAGAACCTTCCTACCGATCTGAAATGGGCTGTCGCAGGTCGTTCCGCGCAGAAAATCGAGTCTATCGCCCAGGAATTGAAAGCTCTTAACCCAGATCGCCTGCAACCAGGTATATAACCTAAAGCCTCATTTGTATACAGCTTTTGGATCTCAATGCTCACTCTGATGTGATATAGATGTCTTGGTCGTTCAACTGAAGTCCACCGAGCTCAACGAGCTTGCCCAGAAAACGCGGCTGGTTATCAATTGTGTGGGTCCCTACCACTTGTACTCGACCCCAGTCGTGGAGGCATGTGCTGTCAATGGAACTCACTATGTGGATGCGTAAGTTTGTGCTTTGTACTCGTTCGAGTCATTTGAACACTTGCTAATCGTTACAGTACTGGAGAAACACCCTGGGTCAAGTCGATCATTGAGAAGTACCATGAAACTGCCAAGGCCAATGGCGCTATTGTTCGTTCTGCACCCAATTTCTGTTAGTTATCTTCATACTAATCTCAGACAGATGATCCCTTGTTCTGGTGTTGAGAGTGTCCCTGCTGATATCCTGGCATGGGCTCTGGTTAAGCGAGTCCGAGAGGACCTCTCGTCCCCAACCCGCCATATCAACAGCACGATCAAGGAAATGAAGTATGTAAATTCATGTCCACAAAGAAAGACATCTCTAATCCTATCACCAGATCCTCCGGTGCCAGCGGCGGTACTATAAGTACTATTCTAACCACCTTCGAAGCATTTTCAATGTCCGACCTATCCAAGTCAATGAGTCCCTTCTCATTGGCAGCATCCCCGCCACCAAAGAACGTCCCCGGTGAATCAATCCTGGAGAAGCTATTCGGCGCACGCTCGATTCGCGACTTGGGTACCGTGACAACCTCCCCATCCGGCCTCTGCGATATGACCATCGTGCACCGCAGCAGCAGCCTGATGCCAGAGTTGTACGGGCCGCACTTCTTCTTCCGTCAGTTCCTATCGGTCCGTAATGCGCTGATTGGCGTCGCTATCCACATTGGCTTCTTGGTTGCAATTTCGCTGCTTGCGCTGCCGCCGGTGCGCTGGCTCGTGCGGAAATTCGTCTTCGCCCCTGGCACTGGCCCGCGCAAGGAGGACTCGGCAAATGATCTTCTCGAGTACCATGCCATTGCTACTGCAGATAGTCCTTCAGCACAGCGCGTCTTCGGTAAGATCACTTACCACGGCGGTATGTACCCCTTTACTGGACTGTTGCTGGCTGAGGCTGCCATGGTTATTCTTAATGAGGAGGAGAAGATCAAGAAGGTCTCGCGTGGTGGCATTGTTACTCCCGCTACGCTGGGTCAGGAGTACGTGGACCGCTTGGAGAAGGTCGGCTGCAAAATCGAGACGAAGGTGTTTCAGTACTAAATAGGTTCATTGTTTACGAAATTCCAGCCCTGTGCAGTTATGCTGGCTCAAGCAACTGCTTGCGACTTGTGATGAAGCGCATGTTCTTAATACTTTGACGATATGAGATACGTACTTTCGCAATAATCAGTGCTTTTCACTATGCCACTATACCTACCGTTTCTCCGATCAGAGCTTGCCAGTCCTTCCATCGGCAGCGGACTGGTCCTTCAACCAAGTTCCAATAATCTCATTGACTTCCTCGGGCTTCTCCCACAAAGCCCAGTGCCCAGTATTAACCTGCTTCAGGGTCAGTCGTGGGACCTGCTTTGGCATGGATTTACCCAAATGAGCCGGCAGAGCTTGATCCCTCAGTCCCTGGATAAACAGCGTAGGAACCTGGATCACCCTGTCGAGAATAGCAAGCTCATCTTCATAGTTCACGTCGCGGGTGCGGTACCAATTAACTGTAGAAATTATTAGCAAGAATCCAAGCTAGCGAATCAAGAAAAAATCATACGGGGTCCATGAATTCCACTCCGAGCAAATTCATTCGTGTAAAACTCCAACTCCTGGAGAAAGTCAGCATAACAACCCCTAAACCCAAAGCAAATAAACCCAACTTACCTCCTCACTCAGCAACCTCGAAATCTTCAACTTGCCAATCGTATCAACCATAACACCCTTATTGGCATCAAAACCAAACTCGCCCGCCTCCGTACGACCCCCATAAAGCGCAAGCAAAAACTGGCGGATCTCATCCTTAGACCGAATAACCTTCTCCAAGTCCCCGCTCTTGAACTGCAGCTGGTATCCAAAGTGCGGCGTCACATTGCGAACAAGGTCTTCGATAGATATATTCTTCGCCATGGGTCGTGCATAAGGCACACAGACTGTGAACAGGTGGCTTACAAGCTCTGGATGCCAGAGGGCAATACGGTAGGCGAGTGCGGCGCCCCTGCTTTGCGTGTTAGCTATGCAGTTCTAGGAAAGAAGGTTCCCCGGGCGTGCTTGCCAGTCATGTCCACCTAGGATGATTTGGGTTTCGCCTAGATGGGTTGCTAGGGCTTTGATATCTGCTGCGCAGCTTTTGTGCGAGTACGGGGTGAATTCATCCGGGGCGTCCTTGTTGAATTATTGTCAGACGATAATTTGCCATATACCGTCGAAGGACGGAAGACTCACTGTTCGTCCGTATCCGAGGCAGTCGAGAGCTACCACACGGAATCCCATGTCTACGAGCATGGGAATCTGATACCGCCATCCCATGGAGAGGTCGGGGAAGCCATGGATCTATGGAGAATACATGTTAACACGTGTGGTTTTTTATTGAGTTGACTCCTTACCAGGAAGACAGTGGCTTCATATTGCCCTGATTTAGGCTGGCTCAGGAGGTAAGCTGTAAGTTGTCAGTTCGATTTGTTTCATATAGAAGACATCGGAGTATGAACTCCTCTTCCTTGAAGTGCGGTATGCTCACAGTAGTTATGACCGTTGAGTGTAGCGGTCTTGTACTGAATTCGGGAGTCCCCTGATACTTGGATCTTGTCGACTGGCATGACGAGCTAATTCAGGGAGTGATAGGTATGTTTTCAAGTTCGTCGTGAGGTGAAAGGGGGATTTATGGATGTGGGGGGAACTTGAAGATACTTGTGACACCTTTATAGGGTCCAAGCTTTGAAGTACTATATATAGCAGTACAACTCCACAGGCTATTGGGTAAATAGAATACAAATTGCGACTTGTAGTAGAGCGAACAAAAGATATTATACTGAAAGATGAATAATCATTCATTAAAACTGCAGATGTCGGAGAGATGGCGCTCACGATTCAGCCTCGGCACGTTGGAGGCGGCCAAGTGGGGGGCCAAGCTACTAGTGTGAACCCTACTCTATGGGCATTTTATACACATTTCTACTTTCTATTCCTACTTGGCGTTTACTAGGGCAACTGTGAAAAGAAATTCTTGGATTCCTGGAGAGGGTTCATTTCCTAGTGCTGATGTGCGATTAGCACGGGGGATATCAGGGTGAGTACCGGTTGGTACAAAGTCTACATTGGCAAGTAGATTGGGGTTGCTGACTGGAGGCTCCCTTGCTGAAAAAAGTTACATATCTTCCTCGAGAGGTGTGACTTCATAGGAAGCGGCCTGACTTGCCAATATCCTTAAATTTGAATGTACACCGCAATCATTGCCCCCAGTGCTGACGGTCAAATGTCGCAAAGATGCAAAAATGCAACAAAGGCAGGCCAGATAACAAGCAGATCTCTGGCCGAGATATCTGGTTCAAGTAGTTCCTTGATATTCTCCACTTGCTCCAAGTACCTTACTACTTGGCTTGACGACGAGGAAACGTGATCACCGTCCAAGGTCGTGTCAGCACAGTTGTTGAAGGGCAGAAGGGCCGCTAGGTACCAGGCCTTACAAGCCTTGTTGTTACTGAACTGTGCCTCATCTACGTCGTCAGAGACAAAAAAGGCCATGATCTGTGAGGACGAAAGCTTTGCATTTACATTTGCATGTGTAGGTCTAAGTTCACGACGGATCCACGTGGTGACGATCCACCTGCTCCATAACTGAAATCATCTGCCACAGCCATTATTTCTCCGATAAGGAGCTCACGGGCGAGTCTCTGGAAGGACCCGAAAGGCGGCTGGGCTTGAGACTGGAGGCCGGGTAAGAGGTAGATAACTCGGTGGTCGAAGGGAATACCATATTGGAAAGTGATGGAAACCCACCCCCCTCCTGGTCAGGATATAAAAGGTATACAGGGTGTGTTAGAACAAAGGGGGCCTCAAAATAGTTTGCAATATTTGCGATGATATTACCAAAGAGAGTACAACTGTTTATTTTTTTAAATGAAAGCAATCGTTGCCGCTGACCACTTGTATGCACAAACCATGTATGATTTTGTTCATATTGAGAATTGAAATCGAAGCCAGAGACTCCTTGGGGAATAATATTAAAAAAAGGAAGATTTCTTCAAAAGAGCTGATCCGTGGACAAGGCCTTCAAGCCGCATATTTGGGGCTCGGGTCATGCCATACCCATCTGGGCAATCGACAAAACATGACCGAACTCGAGGGGTGTCAGTCACGAAGTCTGCAGGGGTAGTCGCCAGTCTAACTGCTCAACCCAGAACCCCCGCTGGGTCGTCAAGACACCTGCGCAGTGTTCACAGATCTTCGGGGTCCGATGTTCCATGGCACGCTGCCACCTTGCCTGCCAGGGTTTTGCGTAGCGTTGCGTGATGCTCTAAAAGCAGGCCAAGTGACAGGGAAAGCTCGTTGGGTAATATCCAGGTCCACGTGCTCGTTGATATCCTCCATTTGCCGGCTCGCTGCAAGCAGGTGGCACCAAGTAAACCCAGTTGGAGCGGGTTCAGCTAGCGCACCCACATGATGTATTGCAAGTGCTCACGTTTGCAAATATTGTCGAGTCATTTTTGTCGTCGCTAGGCTGAACATTGTAAACCCGCCAGATTCATGCTTGGCTCCCCTCCACTTGGACACCAAGCCACAGGCCAGGATCATTGATTCCTGAAACTTTTCTTTTGGTAGAACAGATCCGTCCTCGAACTTCCCAAATTGATGATCTTGGGACATCCATCGCGGTCCTTCTCGAGGCGCGTACACTCAAAGCAGTAGAAGGCATCACTGATACCCTCACCGCCGCAGACGACACACTTGTTTTGGTAATTGCCGAAGGAGCACTCGTCGCAGATGCGGACCAGAGTGGTTGGGCGCACGTAGGAATCGCACACGGGGCATTTTCCGTCGCATTTGTCACACAGACGGCCGATAGAGATGCCGGGTTGCTTGCGGCACATGACGAGGTCGGGGTGATGACGAGACATTATGATCTGAGTGACGAAAAACAAATATGAGAATAGTAAAGCTGTAGAAAGTGGAAATAGGTATGGAGTGGCACTTTCTGGGAAGTGAAATGAGAAATAAGTGCAAGAGAAGGTAAGAGAAGAGAAGCCGACAATGAACGGAAGGCGAAGTGGTCTGTGCACGTGATTCCACGCAGTGTGATTCTAAGCAGCGTGTCGCCTTGTTATTTTGCGCCTCTTAACCTCAACTCCAATATTTGGCCCAGATCAGAGTCTATAACGTCGCTCCTTTCTCCCCAATTTGTTTCTTTTTTATAACCAGCGTTGTTTGCCGATCAAGATGTCTGAAGGGTATGGTTCCCCTCATCCCGTGCAATCCACGCGCATGCGTGGTAATTGGAGTACTCTAGCTAACGCGCATATTGCTTTGACAGCCCTGAGACACTCGCCTCAGCAGTGGCCGTACCCAACCAGGATATTACCCACGAGTCTGCAGAGTTGACAGCCAAGCGACGAAAGTCTTCAGTTTCGGAATACGACACTAAGCGCCGACGACTCAGCTCTACAGACAATACCTCCCCGCAATCTCAGCGGCGGCGACCATCATCTCCTCCACCTACGACAGATGAGTCTGTAGAGACGAAGCCTACGCGACCGCGCGGGGGTCGAGATGAGGATCGCAAGCGGGGCCAGCGTTTATTCGGGGGGCTGCTTGGTACTCTCTCGCAGAGCTCAAGTTCCGCGGCACAGAGACGGCGCGCTGATATTGAAAAAAGCAGCAAGAGAAGTTGAAGTCGCTGGATGCCGAGTACGGTGAATTGAAGAAACGGCGCAAGGAACAGCGTGATGAGATTCGGCGAAGGGAAATGCCGTTGTATGAGCGAGAAGCAGTATGTTCATATTCTATTCACTTACCATTGTGGTACATAGTGATGGTCGGTTTTACTGACATATTTCGTTCTCAGATGCAAACGCGGCATTCGAATATGCTTGCCATGGCGCATTTCCACAAGACACAGGCAAAGCCGGCTCTGGTGAGTGATGCTTTCCTATTCATACATATTAGCCACCAGCTAATCCAATTTAGTATTACAAAACATGGCAACCCAGACCTGGTGACGATTCGGCGATAAAACAGCAGATCGAAGAAGCAGAGGCGACTATTGCCCGAGAAGTTGCTGAGTTCGAAGCCCGATATCCACCCGAGGCATTTGCGCCTGAACAGCCAACCCAGGTTGAAGCACAACCAACAGAGCCAGCTCAGGCTGAAACACAACAGGCAGGTGAAGAACAGCAGCAAAAGTCAGAAGAGCAGCAAACAGATGGTTGTCAAGACCAGCCGGTTCCAGAGCACGAGGCAGATCTGACAGATGTAAAGTCCAAGGAAACGGCTCAGGGTGCTCCGGACACGGTGGGTGTAGGCAATAATGACCAAACCCCTGATCTAGCTAAAACGGATGAAGCCACTGCTAACGTGGAGGAAAGCGCGGTTCAAGATCAGCATGATGCCCACCGAGATGATGACGGAGGCGAGGTCGTTGAGGATAACGAGGACACTGTGATTTATTAGTTTGTAGTCGGCTGTCGACCTTTTTATGTCTGTTTATGCGGTGAGGTGGCTTTAGTTCTTTAGGCCGACACTGACAAATACCCGGAAGCCTTCTTTGTTGCTTTGGATATGTGTAGTGAGATTCGTCTTGGAACTCATTGTTTAAGGCAATACACTATTCATATTGACCATTTGAAATATTCTACGCTTTATCCCAAGTTGCTCTATAAAATCATGGGATACCTGTGATCTCTCTCTATATGTCGAGAATCACCTCGGCCCAGAGCTAACACGAGTATTGAATGGAATCTTGATGTACCTTCAACGAGTCAAGGACATCACCGAGTTGAACCCATCAAATCAACTATCGAGTTATGTGTCCGGCACTGCTGACCTCGAATAATTCTTTCTATTGCTCACAAAACCTACATCATGCAATATTTAAGAGTGTTATATTACACGCATTGGATGGCCATTGCCACGATTATCCAGGAAACATCTGATCTAGCACAGTTTCTTTGTGAAATCTGCGCGCTCCAAAGGAGTCTGACGACCAATGTTCTGACCATCATACGAGCAGAGACCGCCCATATCCATTTCTACCTTTGTTCGTCTTGTCAGAACAAGCAGTTACCAAGTTTTAGATAATAACCTGGCGAGAGTCTAGCACATTGCTGCTATATTTACTACAGCTATCGGATCGATTCCCGCTGAGGTTCGGAGTTTCCCGACCTCGTGAACATAGCCTATCTATACAATAGCGATTTACCGGCCGGGGCGACGAGGTCTAGCGAATCCTCGCGTAGAACCCTGGTCTCGTGGCGGAGTGACTTCCTCTTGCAACCGATCGCCGGTGATTTCGTCAGGGCTAGAGGCCTCAATCTGGTATGTGTGAGTACAAAAATGACCAAACGATTACGATCATTCACAATACGGGCGTGCATACCTTTTTCTCGATCTTAAGTCCTTCCTTCTCGGCAACATCGATAGCGATTCTCCGTGAGGTTGCGTGCAGCATACGCTCCTTGATCGATGATCCAGTGGGACAGGTGTACACGAAGATCACGACATCGGATCCGGGGTAATGGTAGAAGGAATACCGCGGCGAAGAGGAGGAAATGTGTGTGGCGACAGCGCTCGGCTCAACTCCAGACTGGGAGTCGGCCAAGACGATCTTCTCCGTGCGGATATCAACGGCCTCCTTAAAGTTAGCCTCAAGTCTCACAGATCCCATCTACACTCCCCATCTCTTCAACTAATATCTAGAACCAGACCAGCCCTCTCAAATAATGACCACAGCCCGGGGTAATGACTTACCATTTGTACCAAGCCACCATCCTGGAGATCCCTCAGCGCAGACTTAGCATCCTCGTCAACAGACATAGAAACCCTCATCCCAGAGCCAGTGCTAGGTCCAAAAGTGCCGCCAATGCCGATATCCCTCCTGGGGGTGCCACTCCGTGCCTCGGACTCGGCCCTACGAACAGCCTCCAACTCCCTCTCCTTCTCGCCCATCATATCTTCACGAGAGATAGCATTGGGGCCCTCACCATCACGCTCTCGCCACGCATCCTGGCCCAGGACCTCGTCTTCCTCGGTAGCAAAGACGGTAGAAGCGAACTTCTCCGTGCCCAACTCGCGGCTCAGCGTCGATCGAGTCGAGGCAAAGAGCGTCTTTGCTCGCACGGGCGCATTGGACGGGATGTAGGTCAACGCGATGAGTGCAGTTGAGGCATTCGATGGGCGCCGGAGGAGGAGGTAGATGGGGGTTTTGGGTTGGAGGACGGAGGACAGCTGGGGGAGGGCTGAAAAGAAGGCATTTTCCGAGGGACTGCCCTGGAAGGAGATTGGGGCCAACGGTGTTAGGGTCTCTGCTGTAATGGTCACCGGCAGGCAGAAGGTTGAGGAGTCGGAGTTGAAGCGGGTGAATGCATCTTGCAGCTCCGCGGAGACTAGATGGTTTGTTAGTTAGGTTGAGTTCAATGGGATTTTAGTCAGAGTTCAAGGTTTAAAATGTTCAAGTGTCTTACCTGTAATTCCTGACTGCATGATGCTGCACTTTAGGATGCAGCTGAGTTGCCTTGATTGTTGTTGTTTATGAGGGGGAAGCGGTGAATGAGGGACCAACATGTCAGCGGTCAGGGATTTGTTTGACCTTACATCTAACAAGTCTATAATACAGAAAAAAGAATTGATGATTATTCTAACTCGACAGGAATATGCTGAAATATGTTCTTGTGTGGTGACCGTTAACAGCAATCGCTGAGTGGTGTATCTATAACCAGTTGGTCATTCACAGACTTAAGCACTCAACTACACTGGCGAACAACGCTTCAAAATGGCTTGAACACTCTCTATTTCAGCTCAAGGCGCACCAGACAAAGTGGTATACGAAAAAGAACTAACGCAAAGCACAAGATATTTACAAAAAAAAGAGCCGTTTCAACCGGCTTGCAGTTGGACAGCTCTGTCTTGAGACAGTCCAACGCGCGAAACAGACCACCATGCCGGTCAGGTATCACAATGCTTTCCAAAAAGACAAGAAATTTTGGCACGTTTACTCCTCAAACTGACCACCAACGAAAGCCCAGTTAGAGCCCTCCAGCTTGCCCTTGAGGAACTCGTACACGGTGAAAGTGACAGCCTGACCGGGAGCAACACGCATCACACGGGGGGTGATACCCTTGTAGAAAGCGCGAGTACCCTCAGTCTTGAACATATCCTTGGCAATGACCATGATACGGGTGACAGCGGACTGACCGGGCTCAGCACGGGTCTTCTGAAGGCGAGTCTTGATGGTATCGATGGGAGCGTTGGAGAAGGGGCCGACGGCACCAGAGATCAGACCAATCATGGTGGTCTGGTAAGCGGGCAGCTGGCTGTTGCTGTACTCGGGTTGCCAGCGCTGCAGGCCAGCCTTCAGTTCCGTGTATGCGGTGAAGTTGGCGGCCTGGTTGGTTCCTTGTCGGAGGGCTGTCAGGGAGACACCGCGGTACAGGACGCTGAAACCTTCTTCCTTGATCACGGTGAAGAGCGCGTGTGGGGCGCTGCGGTACTTAGGGGTATCCAGGGGATCAGCCAGACTGTGGTGCTGGGCTTGGAGACGAATTTTGATGACTTCCATGGGGTTGACGATGGCTACGGCTTCGGTAACACCGGCGGCGAGACCAGCTGTGAGGATTGTCAGCTTTCCATTGTGCATCCTTCGGCTTGTTGAACGCTTGACATACCCAGGAAGGTGGCTTTGCTGGTCACGGCTCCTGTCTCTTTATCGGCCAGCATGCCCTTATATGACTCGTATGAGGTGAATCGGATGGCCATCTTCGGGATGATACCACCCAGCACGGCACCAAGACCCTTGTACAGACCGAGAGCAGTCTCCTTTTGCACGATTTGAGCACCGGTGGCCACGAACCCGCGTGCCTTAACCTAACCCAGCGAAATATGGTTAGCAATGGCTTCAACTGTCACATGGCATTTTCTCCAACTCACTCCAGGTGCTGTGGCTCTCCTTGACAGCTGCATGCGGACCTTGATTGTATCTAGCGGATGGCACACGAGGGCCTCCATCATACCAGCACCACCACCAGCTAATCAGGCAAAAGTCAATAGCTGTACATCATCCCAAAAGGGGGAGTCTACTCTACCGATCAAGTTGACCGCGGGCGATGTGCGCTTCTGATTGGCAGTTTTGGCGGACATTGTTTCAATATGTGTTATATATGCAGAGAATTTGCACTTTTGTTCAAGATTTCACAGAAATCTTCAATCGGCCGTCTCGGAAATCGAGTTGCGCAGATGTTCCGATTGTCGCAAGGGAAAGCCGAAATTGCGGAGAAGCGGAAGTATACAATCCCGGAGTATAAGCAGAAACAACCTGCAATTGACAGAAAGGGTATAACTGGAAGTGTCTGAAGATCAAGAGATCAATTGCAAAGATCTTTAATCTTCAAAAAAAAAAAGAAAGAAGTTCCACGGGTATATGATTCACGAGGCAAAGTGGCGGAAGTGCCTTTGTGGGGAGCTATGACGGGGAAGCGGAGGAAGCTGGACGAACGGAAGTGTATATAACCTCGCACAAACAAGAAGAACGGAAAAGAGAGAGGAAAAAAAGAGGTAGAAGACTAAATGATCTGCCGAGGGAGATCTCTATATAATAATTATGCCCTGCGTGTTCCGAGTACAAAGTGTGTACGCCTCCTAGACAATCCCGAGGCCTTCGGTAACAAGGGCGGCTCTCTATCCAGCGCGGAATGAATCACCCCAGATCTCCAGTGATCTGATTTCACATGCCTTTTAGCCTGTCGTCATAGTTTTGGCAGCTTGTGATTCTATACTTTATTTTCAGATTAGATAGTACAATGTAAAAAAAGACGTTTAAAATGCCCGCGCCTCATCCAACTACATTGTACATTATCTTACACGCAACCATACCGGAGACCACCCCAGCCTAGAAAGCCTCTAATATTCCAGGGAGCTAAATTACTCCGGGGATTTTGAACAGTTCGGGAGTTGAACTTCGCCGAAAAGTAGCGAAATTCGCTGGCTATTTGCGGGTGATCTCGGGCCAACGCTGGAGCTCCTCCCAGCCGAGGTCCATATTCAGAGGTCATGGGACGTTCTGAGTCAGATGGACAATTAAAGTATTCAAAGGTTGGACGTGGGGCTTGTTTTAGGCTTGGCTAAACTGGTCTTTATGGGGGTTTGGAGATTCTTATAGAAATGCACATACATGCAGTTACAGGTGGTGACGTTGATACTAGATAGAGGCCGTTATTCTATCGGATGAATGTTTTACCGAATTTCTATTTAGCCCATAGAACCTTTGCATTGTACATTGAAGAGATATGTATGGACGAAGTACAGGTATGAAATATGAAACAGTGTCAACATGCTCTAATTCAAAGCACCTTCACATGCATCGCCTATCCCGGGGTCATTCGACCCGACTGATAGATCGGCTACCCGATCTCGGCGACCCCGTTCTGGAATTCCAGATTTGATATGCGAAGATACAAAGG